AAAGTCAGTTCAGCTCCCATGTCAGTGTACAAAGGAAAATAATGGGAAAGGGAAATTCCGAGTCCAGTGGGAAGATAGCCATGGTAAGGTTATTGATTTATTGGGGACATCACCACTAGAAAAGTATGTGTTGCTTAATGATCGAAGAAGGTCAAAGATTGAGGGAGACTGTAGTCTTTATTTACGTAGATCTCAGATTGAAGATCAAGGTGACTATAAGTGTACATATTATGACCCAAAATTAGTAAATATGGGAGAGCATAGTGTCCAATCGGGGTTAGGTTACAGAAACAGTATTGTGACTTTAGTGGTACTAAATGAAACTAGAATTGCAAAACCCCTGGTTGTTGAAGTAGGAAAACTGTCAACTACCATATCAACTCTCCCGCTGATTGAGAAAATAAAGCAGACATCCACCTTTTCAAAACTGAAGGTTACTGACGTCACAGAGATATTGCGTCTAAATACAGCTGAGCCTCAGATGATTTCTACAACTCAAATTCCTGTAAACATTGTGATTAAAGCTACGTTAGGGAATTCAGCACGCCTTCCATGTAAATGTGGAAAATGGAATAATGATGATAATAATCCCCCTAATTGGAAAAATGCTCGTGGTGAAGAAATAGTGCTAACAGGACCTGAAATTAATAGTGTGCCTCGTGATCAAAGAAAGTATATTTTGTATAATCACATAAGGTTGTTTAGGGTTGAAGACGACTGTACACTTGTCCTAATCAATGTAACAGGGGAAGATCAGGGAGAATATACATGCACTTATTTGGATCCAGAGTTTAAATTTGTACCATATCACAATTATTGGGTAAAAGGGTATAGAACTCGTAAGATAATGCTTGTGGTAGAAGGCCTAGATCCTATTGAAGTAGTTACGGTGGCTAAAGAGGTTCAAAAGCAACTAGTCACTCCAAGGGTGACTGATGAACAGATGATGTCTACTACTGTAGCTCAGAGAATAACTAGTAGTATTAACGTATCAACTTTGGTTACTACTCTAGCTGCGAGTAATTTTACAAGTGAGGTTGTAAAGATGGGATCTACTATCAACGAAACAATGATGAGTTCTTCGGTGTCTACAAAGTCTGTAGGTATGATGTTGACATCTGTTGCTACATCTACATTAGTTAAGGCAGCTGAAACAATTCAGATGACTATGTCGAATCTGATTGATGATTTTGTAGATGCTGACGGGACATCAGAAGTCATGACTAAACATCTTCATGCATTAGAGAAGCGTGAAACCCAATGGAAAGCTTATGGGTTTGATTCCTCGGTGTTGCAAATTGCAGACCCGTGGGCAAGTAGAAATATGTGGTACCAACAGTTGACTCACTCTGTTAGATTGGCTAGTAATTTGAGTGGTCCATGTGTCGTGAGAGTTCCAGCACCAGGCACATGGCCTTCAATTCTAGAGACGGTACCAGAACCTTTAACTTCTAAATGTCAAAATTATGCGCTATCGTGGTTGGTATTTAAGCAACAAGCACCATATGATTATTGGATGGCCGTGTCGGTGCATCTATTTACACCTCAACGGAATTGTGCTTGGTTGAAGAACTTATCATATATAAATCTCCTTGATCAGTATGAAGATATTACGACAGCAGTCCCTGATCCTATGGAAGTGACACCTGTGAAGGTTAAATCTTGTTTTTGTTCAAATGGTACTCATGGTGGAGATGGTATGTTTATGGGAATATCAGAATGTGATAACTATATGATGCAATTTGGACGACGTGATCAAAGGGCTATTGATGACATGTATACAGTGACCTTTCATGCACCACATCGCCGACTGAGTAAAACTCTAAGTGTAAAGAATCAAACTTTACCGGGTAATTTTACCATAGGAACATTTAAAGATATCTGGTGGATTTGTGGCGATAAGGCATACTTATTTTTACCTTATGGTTGGATTGGATGTTGTTATATGGCACAGTTGAAACTTCCGTATGATGTTTTTGTTATTCAGAAGGGACAAGGGTCTGATGAGGATAACTCTACGACAATCTCTAGCAGTAGAAAGAAAAGAGATTTGGCACAATTTCACAACTTGGAGTCTTATCATTGGAGGATAAGTTTGGGAGAGAAATGGGGAATAGGATTGTTTCCATGGTATGGTGTTACATACTTAGCTGATCATATTGATAATATTACATATACCCTGCAAGGTTTTGCAAACGAGACCATAAAAGGTTTTGAATATTTGTCAAATACTCAGAGGAGTCATCGATTGACGTTGCTGAAACATGACATGGCTCTTGATTACATTTTGGCCAAACAAGGTGGCCTCTGTGTAGCTTTGAATCTAACTGGAGAAGCCTGTTATACTTTGATTCCTGATGCCACTGACAATATGACTAGTGTCATAGATGCTTTGAAACTAATTAGGGATTCATTTGGTCCATCAGAAAGAGCGGGATGGTCTGCGAATACCTGGTTACAAGACCAATTAGGACCAGTAGGAGCTATAGTGGTTCAGATTTTGGTGGCTACCCTTCTATCACTGTGTGTGATGTTTTGTTTTTGTACGCTGTTGTTGACCTTTGCTAAGGCTATGATATTGAGATGGGTAGGAGTTGTGATGCCAGGAGAAAACATTCAGATGCCGCTACTGAGTGGTAATGACCTAAGTGAAGGTGAGGAGGTCATAGAGATTGGAGAGAAATATCCATTTTTGAATATCTGAATTCAACATTGACTCACTATTATTTTGAACTGGAAGTGAATTGATAAAAGGGGGGAATTGAATATTTTAATCATGTATATTAATCATGTATATGTTAGAATTAATATTTTTGATGTTTTGTATGTACAAAGATACTGGTTGTTGATTTTTCTTCCCAGGATGATATTTGGGAGACCAATGTGAGGGTGGCTGATTGTCCAGAGATTCTTCCAGATTAATGGAGTTGAAACAACCAAACTTAAGAAAATGGAGGATGGAAATGGACAACGGAAACCTGAATGAAGACATCATGATGAGGGGTTTCGATTGAAAAATCATTGAAGGTTTATTACAATGTAACTTGTATTGTTGATAAATATTTTTGTATGTTTTACTTTATAGTAGATATTTTTAGCAAGACATATTTTTCTGGAACTGTATAAGATGCATATATTGGGACCTCAGGTGTTTTCTTTCTTTATCGATCCTTAGGGAAAGTAATGTTAGGTAGGGAGAGGTCCATTGGAAGGTGCGATGGGTCGACCAGCCTGACTTTGGACAATTTTTAGATTTTATTTCTGAGGTTTTGAATGTGTGCATTTATATATCATCCTGAAAAGTTTTCATAACCCTTTTTCTTTTTAATTGGTTTGGAGTACTATAGGTGGTTGCCTGGGGCAGAGGGACCGTGAGAGAGTTTTTCCTGTCTAGATTGTTTGATGGATAATAAAGAAAGATAGCTGCCTGATGGGTTTTTCGCTCTCACACTCCACAAATAAAATTTTACTATATTACTAAGGTTAAGCATGAACAGAAGTGATTCGTATGAGGCTAATTAACATCATAATTGTATAATTTATCTCGTTTGCGAGACTATAGTCTCGCTAGGGGGGACTATGAAGTGTCTGATGTAACCAGGACAGAGATAATATAAGTTTACAATGGGTGCGTCTGGAGATAGTATCTGAAGGAGATTTAGGAGTCCCCTTAGGTGGAATGTTTAAATTGAGGTGTTGTATAGGAGTATTGCCATATATGGTTGTGTAATTTGATGTTTTTATGACGGAAAACAGATGTTTAGATGCATATAAGCAATTGTCTCTGTGTGTTCGACAGAGATCATTATTGGCTTCTTGATCCTCCTGGTCAGACGTGACCAGTGATTCTGTTTCTTGCTTAAATAAAATTACACTCTTTGAAAGCAAGTCAGTCTCAACGGCGAATTTCTTCATCATCAAACATATCAACAACAAGGAAATCCACATCACTAGCTACCTAAGCCGGTTCTATCAAGGATCGCTGACGCAGGTCATTAATCCTCAAACAGATCCCGGACGAGCCCCCAATTCTGTTACGAGCTAGCACCGGCTACACATATATATACAACAAAACTAGCCCTAATCTGAAGAGTGACAGAGAAGTCAAGAGATGACAAGTACGGAAAGGACTGATTCTCATACAGGGAAAACATAAGGTTAGGTCAGCTCACCTACACGCAGGTCTGCCGAGGCACCGACGGCCTGATTGCACCGGACAGCTTTTAGAGCGACGAGCCCAAGCTTCGTGTATGAGTTCAGGTTTGTTTGTTGTAGTTGGATCACACAAGATATGGCTGGTTTCAATAACAAGTTCATAGGAGTGGGTCATCCAAGTTGGCGTTTATACGGGTCCTCCATCAGCTGCCACTTCACCTGTCGTATGACGTTATTTAAAGCGACAGCGCACCGCTCTGAGCGCACCTCAGGAATGGTGCGTTCAAGACTATCGGACAAACCAGTAAACACAGCTTAAACCCATTCTCTATTCTCTGCATGAAAACCAGTCCAAAGTAATTAACAAAACAGACAGATGAGGATCAAGAAGAAGAACCTTACTGATTCCTAACAGTACTCATCTAACAGGCACATCGTACATGGACGACAAAGGTGTCCTCTGAAAGTTTTTAACAGAACTTTAAGAGTTTGTGTTTGATCTGATCTCTCGTGTCTCTGAGGTTTCACATCACATGAAAGCTGTTTTTCACTCGTGGCTTCCTGAGTGCAGCGGAGGCTGTAACGACTGCAGAGGTTATCTGAGGTCACAGAGTGAACTTAGAGAAACGGCTTCCTGTGTGCAGCTCGTCTGATACGATGAGTGTTTGTGGCGATAAAAGTTTCAAAGCTCTGAAACAAACTTTAAAGTAACAGGAGCGTCTGATCCAGCTTCCAGAAAGACATGTGATGTACTTCCTGTTTTATCTTAGAGCTCTTAAGTGATCATGAAATGTTAATCTTTAGAGGACTATATTAAGATATCATAGCAGGGGATGAAGTCATACTTGAGGTCTGCGATGAGTCCAATTCACACATGTTTGGAACGAGAACTTCGGCTCCTCCGGGATCTTTGTTTCGTTCTTCAAACAGAACACAACATGTCAGGAGACTTCAGAGAAAACAGATGTGATCATTAGAACGAGTGTCAGCTCCTCTGAACTGACCGTTAAATATTGAGCTGTTAGTGTGAGGCAGAGGCATCTCTGCATAACGGACGAGTTTGCGTTTGTCCACATTTCTGCGTTTCCTCAGTTTGTTGGCGACGGGCAGCGAGCTCGGCAGGACAGGAGAGTCTGGGATGATTCCTTCTTCTTGATCGGGGGATGAGGCCTGCTGCTGCTCAGAGCTGGAAGAACAAACAACAACACCTGCAGACTTGAAAAGGAACTGAAACTTTAAAGGAAATACTCATTTCTGTGCAGAACACCACAGCAGGAAGTTCTAGTAACACAAAAAGAACTCGTCATAGAGACGTATGGAGACATTTCTTCAGAGGAAGCAGAAGTGAAACTACTACAGCTGAAGGGGGCGATGCTGTTTGGGCTGTGATGGTCGTGTGGTTGTGTGGTTAAGATATAGAAGCTCTGGGACGCTGGGTCTCACTTTACACTCTACACGGTTGAGTTGTGGGGGCCAGAAAGGGCCATGTGGTAGGGCAGGTAGTGTCGGCGCTGACACTACATGGCGCTCGCATTAACACGCCTGGGTCTGTTGAAGGTGGCAACACTGTTTTGGTTGCCGTGGCAACTGCGGGCCAAAGGGTGGGTTATGTAACTTATCAGTCGGACACAGGGGCATCACTGGGATGAGGGCTTATCCTTTCATTACTGCACAAGTATGTCGTGTTTATTTCAAACTCAGTGTGAGGTCAGAAGGAGACGGACAGAACTTACTGAGTCGACTTCAACTTCTCCACTTCAGCTTCAAGTTTCCTGTTTTTGTCCCCCAGACAGATTCTTTCATTCTCTAAGGAGCCAAAAAAAACAGCTTGGATCGTTGTGATGCTCTCTGCTCCAACAATAAAACAAAGGATTTCTCTGGCTTTGATAAATGTTAGAATTATTTGAAGTAATGTAAGTACCATAGACTGTAAATATTAAATATAAAATAGTATTTAACATAATAAACACACCATTTTTAATTAATTAAGATATCATGTGACGCTGCAATACCAGGTTCAGCCACCATGTGAAACTGGCTTCAACAGTCGGCACACTTCCTGGGGGCTTGGACTGGAATGATGTGCATGCTAACATGGTAACAAGCTAACACAATGCAGCTTTGTTTGGGGACTAAGAGGAGCAGCAGTGGGTTTTTAATTCCTGAGAACAATCATTAAACTCACGCAGTGTTTCAACGAGCCACAAATTCTCCTCCTGGATATTTTTCAGATTGTCCTTGAAGGCAGCACATCGCTCACACTCTCCTGAATGCAGCCTGGAAACAGATCACATGATGGAGGAGTTGCTCTCTGATAAACACGGTTTACACGTGATAGCACTACCTGTCCTCCAGCAGGCCCAGGGCGTCCTGCAGCGTTTTGTTCTGCTCCTTCAGCTGCTGGTTTCGGTTGTAGAACACCTCGAGCTTCTGAGCGTCTCTGCAGGAAACAGAAACACAAAGAAAATAAGAGGGACATTTAAATATAATAACACGTTTAAGTATCTTCTGATCAGATCTACGACACAGTTTACTCACAAGCAGCGCTCCGTCTTCAACCTGCTCACTTTCACCTCCAGTTCTAAAAACAGAAGAAGAAATCAAACATGAAGAACTGATGTCTCACTGTCTTTAGTCCAAGGTGATTTAAAGAAGCGAGCTGTTAATAAACCTGTAGGTGTCCTATCAAAGTGTAAGATTCTGAAAGTGTGAAACACTCTTCACATTGCTGTCAGGTAAAAAAGTTGAGCAGCTCGTCTTTGACTGAAGGATTTTCAGGTGATCACTAGTCAGCACGCCGTGAGGAAGAATGAGACGTACTGGCGTTTAAATTCAACTCACACCCGAGGAAGACAACGGCTCTCTGCATGTTTAAGTCCAACGCTTAATGTTGAGTGATTTTATGGAGTTGTAGATGTAAACACAGACACACACTTTATCATCCTGGGATATTTACCCTGCAGAGCTTTGTGATGAGTCTCTCTCAGCTGACTCCATAACTCTTCAAAGAGGTCAGCAGGTCGGGGGATGTCGCTGCTCAGTGAAGGGCTGCTCATCCTCTACACACACACACACACACACACACACACACACACACACACACACACACACACACACACACACACACACACACACACACACACACACACACACACACACACACACACACACACACACACACACACACACACACACACACACACACACACACACACACACACACACACACACACACACACACACACACACACACACACACACACACACACACACACACACACACACACACACACACACACACACACACACACACACACACACACACACACACACACACACACACACACACACACACACACACACACACACACTTGAATTGTTGTTGCTCTGAACTTGTACTTTGGAATGAACGGCTTCTTCTTCATCATGGTTATTATGACGTGGACAGGTCACCATCGTGAACAAGATGGTGTGGTTGCACCGCATGTACGGAGGTTATAGTCCTCCAGGGGCCCGTTTCAGTAAGTAGGTTTTGTGCAAACACTGAGTCAGTTCACCGTGAAATGAGGAAAACTCTGGGTTTTCCGGTTCAGAAGGGGAGGTCACTGAAACCCGACAAAGAGGGGTAACTCCAACCCGTTCCAGAGAGAGAGGTAACTTTAAGTCTGAGTCAGTTACGATGGTAACTGAGTCTGTGAACCTAACTTGGTCGGGAGCAGGTTTTCTTCAGTGAACCCAGAGTTTCTCTCACGTTAATCCATGAATATCACTCAAAAAGATAAATTATAAACCATGGTCAAGTTACAAACTCAGGATGATTCATATTTACGTTACATTACTATTTAAAGCTATTTAATGAGAGTTAACCTTTTAGTCTCTGAGGTTAACCTGTTAACAGTAAACTAACGATCACAGTAAAAGTTTAAAAAGCCGTCAAAATAAGAAACACTTACACAGTCACGGAGCAGAGGAGCGCAGAGGAGCTTTAAATGTTTAACTGTCACACTCACTTCTTAATTTAACCATTTAAAACTTATATTTCACTCTAACAGTGACGATGAATATCAGATGAAAAACTACATAAATGTTAGAACTTCGCGCGCCGAGCTGCATGCCGGGAAGTCTTCTTCTTCTAAAACAATTCCGGCAGGTTGTACAGTGTAAAGCGTAACAGCGCCCTCTTCAGGCAAGGGTTAAATGATTGTTTCAAATGAAGGAGATTTGAGAGGAGAAATTAAAGGATGTAAACGTCTCTTCTTCTTCTACTGAGGCTTCTAATGAAGAGAGGATGAGTTCATGTTTTTACTCCTAATATATATTTATATTGAACTCTCTTTACCCGTCTGCCAGTCTGTTGTTGTTGTTTTTCTAACTTTGTGTGTGTAGGGCAAAGTGAAGCACAGACACATTCCAGTTATAACATCTGTTTTTTTTTATCATGTTTAACACATTTTAGCAAGCCAAACATTTTAAGAACAAAATAATTAATTTCATTTTTTGTCTGATAGAAAAAAAAAACATGTAATGAAATAAAAACATGAAAGGAGACAGAGGTTGTCTTCATTTGTGATAGATTGATACCTTTTGAAACCACATGTTTTTAAAGCATAAATCTTCATTGTGACAAAAAGTACTGAAGCTTTTAAAAATCTACATTTACGATCAGACCGGAGTGCAGGAGGAATAAATTATCTAACAATTCCGCGTTAAGATATCTCAGCCCGGCACTTACAGACTGGACAGATGATCCTGAAGGCTACTGGATCAGATGGAGGAGGCTTGGAATGAGGGCGATGACACTCCTCTTTAAAGTCAGTGTGATGATGTTTCCAGCTCAGGAAAGAAAGAAGCGCTGAACAACTACATAATAATAATAATAATAATAATGTGAACTACTGTGGGATGTTCTGCTGTAAAGCTGCCTCTTTGATTCACATATCTTTATTTGATGTATCTTCTGTGACTTTGTTTTGGTTTCTTTAGACTCTTGGTCATCAATGTTTTTAGTTCTGGTTGGCCATTATTGATGATGTCATCTTCACGTTTTTATTACTGTTCAAACTTCCTGTTTGTTTTGTTAGTTGTGAAAATAATTTAAAAATATTCTGTCACGCTGTGAATTGCACAGAGGTGTCTAGGACTTCTTTTGTTGCTGTGGTAACAAACATGGATATTTGTGTTTTCTGGCATCATATTGAAGTTTGAAATGTGCGGTATTATGATGACATTCCTCCAACGCTGACCTGTTGGTCGTCTCTTTGTCGAGAAGCTCTTATTGCTGAAACGTGATCAAGAATCCACTCGACTGGATGGAGGGTCTGCTCGGTGGTCGTGAGCAACTTGATGACTTTCAGAGGGATTATTAACCTCCTCACTTATTACTTAATTATTAACATCCTCACTGATGTTCTCTTTAATCTCAGATGTTTTCATGTTTTTCTGCGTTATCTTGACTGAACAAGGACACGGAGAAACAAAGATTCTTCTAATATTTGTTTTTATTTTTGGTCTTTCTTAAGAATACAAAACAAGAACCAAAACCACAAAAATAACATTTGCATGTTATTGAACGGAGGCGACGATGTCTGCAGACGTGATATAAGAACGCTGAGCCTGGAGGGCAAACAGCGAGCGATGGAGGCGGAGCCTGCTTCAGTAGTGATTTTCACAAACAGTTTCCACATTTAGCTTTAATGATGGAGAGCGTCACACCTGACTAATAAGTGACCATTAATCAGGTCAGAGATTCTCCACACCTCGTTCTGCACGGCTCCACTTTCATCTTGAACACATTCACACTCTATCATTCCTCTTCTTTCATTCCTCTTTCCAACATCTCCCTCTCCTCATTCCCCATCAACCTTACTCTCACATTCAGAATACGTTGATATCACTTCAGCAGAAGTTGACGTTCTTTCTGTGAGACGTCTGACAGGCAGAAGCAATCAAACGCAGAGTGACAGAGCGCTGGAATGATCCTTTTCTAAAATACAGACAGATCTGACAAATAATCAAAACTGAGCATAGCTTATTAAGAACACAGAGACGTGAATGTAGCACAGCTTGTGTGTGTGTCTGTGTGTGTCTGTGAGTGTGTTTGCATGAACAAAGGTTTGTCGACATGCTCACTGACTTAGCTCTGCAGATTATTAATGTTTAGTTCCTTTGGATGTGTGCCTTTAGTTTGCATCTGTCGCAGCAGGTAGTCTGAGCGAGCGGTACGTCGTATATCGATAAATACACATGCATTCAACCTCAGACGTTTCCACAAATCATAAAAAAAACAAACTCCCTTTTCTCTGATGAGGCGATCAAAACCTGCAGATTGTCCACATGGAGGCGGTGCTGTTGGAGGTGAGAGATGCAGCAGGTGGAGGAGGTGCTGGCGCTGAACAGGGGGTGGGGTGATGGGACTTTTCTCCACCCCCTCCTGTCTGAATGGAGTTGGGTTTAGATTCACATTATGCTGGAAGAAGAGTAAGCGGTGCAGACGCTGGCAGGGCGGTCCTCACCGAGAGCCACAAACACTGGAGGAGATTGTGAATGCATATCGACCAATCAGAGCTGCGGACACAAACACACAATGCATATCGACCAATCAGAGCTGCAGACTCAAACACACAATGCCTATCGACCAATCAGAGCTGCAGAGAGAAGATTTAAGTCGTTAGCTTTCAGACTCTTTGAGTTCAGGTTAGACCAAAGAAAGACGAGGGGGATGTTTCTATAAAAACAGTAAACTTCACACTCACTCCTCCCTCTGTTCACCACTGGGGGGGCACGTAGCTGTAGCTGGGGGTTCCAGGGGGCCGATATGTGGGCATCGTGACTTGGTGGGGGGCAACGGGCGCTGGTGAGGGAGACGTCAACAACGTTCCTGAGAGACAAAGAGAGCAACAAGACAAACACAAGTTTGGTTTAAGTGACATTTTCAAAGAACAAATGAGGCTGATTAGGGCCGTCGTCATGGCAACAAACTTTTAAACTATTAGTAGATGAAGATTTCCTTTCATACCACACACACACACACACACACACACACACACACACACACACACACACACACACACACACACACACACACACACACACACACACACACACACACACACACACACACACACACACACACACACACACACACACACACACACACACACACACACACACACACACACACACACACACAAAGTGACTTCACAGAAGCCAACACATCTCTTTAAATATGTCAACTCACCTGCCGACATGGCCATGGTAGTGCCGGCTACCATCCCCATGGCGACACCGTTGGGGCGGGGCGGAGCGATGGAGGGAGCGTACATAGCTGCAGGCATCCCATTGGGCTGGACCACGGTGGTGTGGTGGATGACATGCGGCGGAGCAGCGTACAGAGGCTGTGTGTAGTAAGCGCCCTGCTGTTGTGAAGGTATGAGTGCCTGAAGCACAGAAACACATCACAGGTCACATGACAGGTCACTCTTTGGAACACCTGTATTACATAGAGACAGGTATCTCACACTCTCACCTGTGCGTAGGGGCTCTGTTGCCCGTAGGTGCTCCGGACCGGGTACACAGCAGCGGGGTACTGGCTGGGGGAGGAAGAGTACGGGGGGACAGTCCCCGTGTTGGGGGAGCAGGACATTTTAAAAGGAGTACCTGGAGCATAACCTGCCGGGGGGAGAAGGAACAGAAGTTCAGATAATGATGGAGGTGATAAACTATGATGTCATTCTAGTTCAATCAAACCTGTTTGACAGCATTAACCATATCTAAGTCTTAGTCATAATCAGGTCATTTTATTTTGAAGGATCATAGAGTGCAGATTAACTTGCGCTCGCTGCAGCCGCCTGAAGAACTTTATAAAGCTTCAGTACCCGTCATTTAAACACAGGCGTAAAACTAACACACTTCCTGTTAAGTAACAAATGAAGCTGTGATGACCCATGAGTCTTTAATGACATGACTCCAGACCACCTCTTAAGGGCTTCCACCAGGACTAGACTCACCGCTGGGGAAGGCGGGGTTTGCTCCGGCGTAGACGTTCGGATTGTACGCAGGAGCAGCTGCTGCATAGCCGACAGGAAATCCAGCTGAGCGACCAAACACAGAACAAAATCATCTCAACGTTTTATATATCTATAGCCCGGGATATCCAGGTGTACTTTGTGAAGTTAACTAAGTGAGACTCGTACCTGGGTAGCTGAGACCCTTGGTGTTGGTGAAGGGGACCCCTGTTGGTGCAGGGCTGTACACGGGGTTCATTATGGCGCCTGTTCACAGACACAGACTGATGAATGCAAAGGTCACAGCTCCTAAAACATCCCGTGTTCTGCTGATAAATCCACATGAATCTTAAACATAACACTTTATCTCTTCATTTAAATGGACAGACGATACACTTATTTCAGTTCAGACAAATATTCAAATGAAAGATTTAATATGAACAGAACAGGTTCATTAAAGACGATATGACCTTTTTATATTAATCTTTTAATAGTTTTTAAAACATAAAAACTGGGACATTCGGACAAACGGATCAGTGAACGTTACAGGAGAGATAAGACTCAGAAAATATAAACACTTTGAAAACCCACCAAACATTTGATTTTCTGCCTTCAGTGTTCTTTAAGAAGAGTTTTTAGTTTAGATAATAGTGTAAAATATAAAAGATCAACATTGGATTTAATTAAATATAAACTAACTGCGTAGGTCAGATACATCCAGATTCTAAACATTGTAGAGAGCAGGGCACCATGTGGTGGACACTGAAGCTTCAGTGTTTATCCAGCTCTGCATGGGTCTGTAAACCTTTCTGTGTTCTAACCTCTCTCCATTTTTCAAAAGCATCTCCAATATTGATCCTAGTTTGAGCACGTTTCTGCTCGTGGAGCTTATTAGAAACATGCAGAGGCTTTTTAGGTCGGGTACAATCACTTCTATCTGAACCACTTCTCTTGCCCGCTTCCATCGCTGCAACACCTGTTGACCTGATAACTGCTCTCATATCTGACAAACCGAGGGGCGTCCAAAACGGCCGTGTGGGGGTGCCTTAAAACCGCCTCTCTTCTCTGGTCCAAACAAATCCAGATCATTCAGGAGCAGAATCTAAAGTTAGAAGGAGGACATACTGACTGCTGCATTGTTGTCAGAGAAGCCAGCACTTCAACATAGCATGTTTCCTTAATTTCTGATCAGATAGTAAGATACCTTTATCATTTCACTCTCTACACATCTCACTGAGTGGATCTTTAAGTATTGATTAGTGAACACTACTGGAGCTGCAGATTAATAATTATGTTTTTAAAAAAGGGCCTAATTGTGTCAGCAGGTGAAGCTGGTGTTTTTTATAAAGGTGACATGTTACCTGCAGGGATAAAGATTGTCCCCTTTAAGCACAATGATTTAAATGAGCCTGACTAGCATCACACTCCGCTGTTGTGATGCTAACGGAGAATACCGAGCAGGTACATGATGTCCACTGACCTGCTGCTCACCTGTGTGTCCCCAGACAGACAGACAGACAGAGAGCAGGCCGCACTGCCCGGCAAACACACACAGACAGACAGGCAGTCAGAGAGACAGCTGCTGCACCGCCTGTCCCAACCTATGTTCTCGACATCACCACAGATGAACTCACACGTCATGTATTTAAATATACAGAGAATAAAAACACTCACTGTGGGTGTATATTAGCCTCCTCTGCTCTCTGATGCTCAATGAAATTTAGCTAACTGGTGTTTTGCTCCCAGATGCTTCACTGAACTCTTAAGTGTACTACGTGACTTCCGGTTGAGCCCAACTGGTCCACGAAAACAAACTGTCATCGACACATTTTTAATTAAGAATCACTCTTTATTGTGTAATTGACCTTTACAAGCTAAAATATAATTAAATAAAAATGTAAAATCTTTTTTATTCTTTTATTTTTCTGCGACGTCTGTGAGATAATGATTAATCATCCCCCACATCTTCTATTTACGGGTCAGATCAAATTATCTTTTAATAAAAAAAATATATTTATAGACATTCTAACGTTTAAGATGTTATTTTCTATATTTAATAGATTAAACGACAACAGCACGGACTGATATCCTGCTAACATGCTAACCATGAGCTCATAATAATGTTAGCTTCAAGGTCCTGAAAGGTGATAAAATAGATTTAACTAAAACTGCAGATCTCCTCAATCTGATAATTTACAAATAACCAAATAACATATTTATCTGATAATATCTATCACTTTGATTCAATAACACTGACACATGATAATCCAGTATTTATTTCAGCAGCTGTACATTCAGTGTTTTTGACCTTTCAGGACCTTGACGCATCGTCCATTCAGCCATTGCAGTGTGGAGAGTGGGCTCCATACTGTAGTGATTTCACAGTTTGCTTCTGTATGTGATTTATTTACAGGTAAAATGTTTTTGTTTAACGTGTATTAGATCAGACTGTTCGGTGTTCGGTTCAGCTCTCCGGTGGCCTGTGTGCTCGGTAATCAGCGGGGTAAAATGTCTGCAGCGGCCGTCGTAGGGGGAGGCTCCTCTTGTCTGGGCGCAGCAGCAGCGGCGGCCGGTTGCAGCTCCGCCGGCTCTCCGTACTCTGCTTCAGCCGGAGGAGGCGCAGGGGTAGCCGGGAGGCTGCCAGCCCGGGTCCTGGAGCATGTGTTCTCCTACCTGGAGATGTTGGACCTGATGCGGTGCTCGCTGGTCTGCTGGCACTGGAACAACATCCTGGCGGATGAAAACAGCGAGGTGTGGCGCAGCCTCTCCGCCCGGACTCTGACCGATGAAGCTCTGCGCTCCGACATCCTGTGCAACCTGCCCACCTACAAGGGAAAGGTAGATCCACCATGAAGTAACTCGGCTGTGGTGAATGACACACCCGGGTCAGATACGTGCGTGTTTAGTGACGCTCTTTAGAACAGTCAGAAAGTGTCATAATAATGAGTATAAATCAGCTGTCTGAGAGCAGGATGATCCACCAGTGACAGGATTATAAAATACTTCAGCAGACCATACTCACTTTATTAATCACAATAACTCACAAGATTGAACCAATGACTTGTGTGTTGATACCGAGGTTAAATGGGCAGATTCTTTAATGGGGTTTAGTGGAGAAGTGTCTGTCTGATTATCAGAACCAATATTCTGTTATTGATTATCATGACGTCACAGTGCACTTTATATGGAACAGAGAGCAGGTTTAATAGAATCTCTTAAAGGGACAGTGTGCATCCTGGCTCCATCAAGAACCATAAAACTCATAGGGCCACATGAGCTCTTCCACTGCTGAACCCTGAAACCAACTTGTTCACTTTGATTTGGGTCCATTGATATAATTCAAGAGGAACTTGTTTTTAGTCGTTTTTATTTGTCTTTTTCTTTGGGTGGGGGGGGGATTAAGACGAAAAAGGTCACATCGCTTGGCTCTACTTCTTTTATTAATAAAGTAACCTGCAGCTAAAGGACAGGTGAGGCACACCTCCTCTGTTTATATGAGCTCCATGTCCTTAGAGATATGCAGGATGACAGCATCACTAACAGCTCTCAGCACACCACGCTTCCCTTTCTCGTCACACCTGATTCAACATTGAAATGATTGTCTCACGTTGACTGCTCTCTGTAGCGCTCTGGTGCATCTCGTAGTGACACATCGGAGGACAGATAGTGATGCATGAAGCCCTGATGATGTCATCCATTAGTTTGTTTACTTCTGATTTCACCATCTTGGATTCTTGGAGCCAGAAGTGACCATATATGGAGTGTGGAGCATAGTAAAAAGTGATAATTAGCACTAGCTTGGTTAGCATTATACGTCTGATGACAGTGACTGTGACATTAATCACACATCAATCACCCAGCACTGAACACTGAGTGTTCACAGGTAGCGGTGCTCTAAAGAAGGGTCACCTGTGAGTCAGCTGGAGTAATACCCATCCACCCTCCGGTCCAAACGCCGTAACAGAAACAATGCTGAGGCTTCATAGCTGTTCTCTCATTGGCTGTGTGCTCTGTATATCCTGTTTGACCACATGGCAGTGTTGGCGTCCTCTCTCTCTCCCTCCAGCTGAAGGCGTACCAGCACGCGCTGAGCTCCCACGACTGCTCCCGCAATGTTTACGTGAAGAAGAATGGCTTCACCCTCCACCGTAACCCCATCGCCCAGAGCACGGACGGAGCGCGAGGAAAGATCGGTTTCTCGGAGGGGAGGCATGCCTGGGAGATCTGGTGGGAGGGCCCTCTGGGTACGGTGGCGGTGATCGGCATCGCAACAAAGCGAGCGTCCATGCAATGTCAGGGCTACGTGGCTCTGCTGGGCAGCGACGACCAGAGCTGGGGCTGGAACCTGGTCGACAACAACCTGCTGCACAACGGGGAGGTCAACGGCAGCTTCCCGCAGTGTAACAACGCACCCAAATATCAGGTAAGACTAGGATTCTAGTTATAATACCGATACCTGTTTGTTATCATGGCAACAAACATAGAAGACTCGGTCATTTCATGTGTACGTGTTTTAAAGCTCCGATGGTTAGAGTCTCGAGCCTGTGTCAGATCAAACATGTTGTATCTTAGTGTATCCTTTCTGTACTTTGACCTTTGGCCTGTGACTGTGCACGTTCACAGATCGGCGAGAGAATACGAGTGATCCTGGACATGGACGACAAGACGTTAGCTTTCGAGAGAGGCTTTGAGTTTCTTGGAATTGCGTTTCGGGGACTTCCCAAAGCCTGCCTGTTCCCTGCTGTGTCTGCAGTGTACGGCAACACTGAAGTCACCATGGTGTACCTGGGGAGGCCTCTGGACGGGTAGAAGAACAGGACGCTTGAACTAACAGGCCTCTGGCGTGTGGAGGACTGATGTTTGTTGAACTGATTGTAAACATGGTCGTTGTTGTCACAAACACAGAGAAGCGTCCGTCTCCTGCAGCTCCACATCAGGAGTCACAATGTGGACAGACTCAAGGGAGCAGGAGTGTTTAGGGACTGATGTAAATGTGGGAATATTCTCTCCTACATTTTAGCTGCTGGACTGATGTATCCACAGGACAGGTGACCTTTTATTTAAAGTCATGACCTTCAGGTGAACACATGGAGACAAAGGCCAAACTACACTATGAGACGCCATTTCAATCTATAACCCATTAAAAAGTGATTAGAAGCCAAACTATCGCCCCCTGCTGTTAGAGAGTATATCTACCACTTTACAGTGGTGTGCAGGATGTGCATGAAATGTGTAACAGCTGCCATTTGAACACACCTGTCCTCTCATGGTGTCAAGTATACCTGTATCATGTTAACGTGCGTCCTTTTTAATGTGCTCTTCTAGTATTACACACTATTTATTTCTTGCTTTTATCGATGGTACTTAAGATTCTGTGTGGTTATACGGCCTGAAAATAAAGTCTACATGGTGCCACGGGATCAGGATGGTTTCATGTTTGAGTCGCTGTATTCACACCTGTGCAGGTACGCTACACGTCTCGTTAGTGTCTCACCTCACTACTTCCTGAACAACATAGTTCAAACCCCTGATATTCACTACCACAAATATAGACTCATACAAATACATACACGCACACACGCACACATAAAGACACACAACCTCTTTTTTTTGTTTGTTTCCTTTCTGTATAACTATCACAACTTATTTATGAATTTATTTTCCTCTTGCCATCAAATTTAATCTTTTTTTATTACTATTATTATTATTATTATTATTATTGTCTTTAGCCACCATTTTATTATGACCTATTTATTGATTTATTTCCTCTCCCCCCTTATATTCAAATCATATTCATCATCATAAATTCTCATCACAGCCACTCTCATTTTTCATGCACTTCTTTTTATTTTATTTATTTATTTTCTCTTTCCTTTCTCTTTCTCTTTCTCCAATCCAGATGATTGTCTGCTTTTCTTTAGTTGCCTTGCTTTATTAATTATTTATGTATTTTCTCTTTCTCTTATAATTATAATTACTACTGCTATCACCTTGTGCCAACAAACCTTTGCTGTTTTTTTTTCTTTTAATATTATTATCATAATTACTACTGTACACTCCTGTAACAATTGCTTCCAATATTGATATTATCTCTGTTATTTACCATTATTCAATATTATTATTTTTTTTATCGCTCTCTTGCTTTATATATATATATATATATATATTATTATTATTATTATTATTATTATTATTATTATTTTTTTTTACTATCATTATTATAATTTTTCTTTTTTTCTGGTATTAGTGGTATGTTGAGGGGGGTGAAGAAGGCAAGATAATGAGAATTAAAATGATACACTAGCAAATCATACTCAAACAATCTGGACAAATTACATTATTATTACTACAATATGATCTGCGCTATTTATATTACTGTCATCAACACATAACCCAACAACACAATACACTGGAACACAATTGATGGTCCATTACCCACTTTTTTTGTTTTTTTAAATTTTATCATTCTTCAGTTATTCTAGTTTTCTTCTTTCCCTTTGTTTTGAATATGCTTTCTAGACCCTCCTGGTGCCTCCATCCTCTCAGTGGTCCAGTGTTGTATCTCTAAACACTAAGGTTAAAAGAAGGATAGACTTCAGGACAACGATAATAATAACAAATGCAAAAATATACAAATACATAAAAAAAAAAACAATTGCAATGATAAAAATACTGTGCCTTAAAGAAATTAATCAGATGATACCTCCGAGCACCAACACAAACATCAGGTCTGGGGGTTGTTCAAGCTTGGCGGGAGGGTAGCAGTAGGCGACCCTATCAGCTGGCCCCCTCCGCAGGGTCTGGGGGCAACTGAGACAGGGGCACCCCTGCATCACACAATGACTGAAGTAAAAAAAAAAGATAATATATATAGAAAGAAGAAAAAGGAGGAGAAGAAAAAATAATAATAATAAAGAAAAGAAAAGAAAAATGGAATGAAGGAAAGAAGAAGGAGAAAAATAGGAATAGGGGTATAGAAAAAAAAGGAAGAGAAAAAAAAATACAAGCATGCACTCAAATAGTTAGTGTCTCTGTACACCCCTGTGCAGGTATGCTACACGTCTCTTTAGTGTCTCTGTACACACACCTGTGCAGGTACGCTACACGTCTCTTTAGTGTCTCTGTACACACACCTGTGCAGGTACGCTACACGTCTCTTTAGTGTCTCTGTACACACACCTGTGCAGGTACGCTACACGTCTCTTTAGTGTCTCTGTAGTCACACCTGTGCAGGTACGCTACACGTCTCTTTAGTGTCTCTGTACACACACCTGTGCAGGTACGCTACACATCTCTTTAATGTCTCTGTAGTCACACCTGTGCAGGTACGCTACATGTCTCTTTAGTGTCTCTGTATTCACACCTGTGCAGGTACGCTACACGTCTCTTGAGTGTCTCTGTACATATTATAAATATCCATAGCTGACTTTAAGATGTGGAGCAGTGGTTTGTATGTCAGGACATTCAGAGAGTTGAAGGGACCGTTCTGATGTGCAGACGTGTCAGGGTTTGTTTAAAAGTGTAAAATGATCATTTAGTGCTGAGCCTTTGAGCTTTCCTGTGATTGCTGTGCAGTACATCCTGTTTCCAGCAGAGGGCAGAGTTCCTCCTCTGCATGTTAATCTGACACCTCAGAGAGAGTCCTGAGCATGTTTAAGGTGAAGGTCAGGAGGGTGGAGGATATTCATCTTTAAAACGTTTTAATATAAATGTAGAAATGTGTGCACAATGAAGAAGAAACTTCAGATGTTCACTGAACGGTTACTTTAGTGTCAACTGTGAAGTTTAAAAACTTTCTGAGAATGTAGATACCAGTCAGAAACCAACTCTGGATGGATGGATAATCTCCTTTCAAGAAACCCAAGGACGCTTTACAGTAGTAAAGGTTGCGGACCTCGGTGAGGGGCGGATGGAGCAGTCTAACCACAGCGAGGAGGAGATCTCCAACCTTCTTGAGCAGTGCCTTGGGGGCCACAGCCATGAGCTCAGTCTTGATGCTGTTGAGTTTGAGGAGGTTAGAAGACATCCAGGTTTTAATATCCTGCAGGCAGTTGACTAGTGACTGGGTGTGGAGCTTAGTGGATGAGGGCTGAGGGGGGTTTGAGAAGTGATTTAAAAGAGGATTCTGAGTTTGCCTGCTTGACATCTCCAGGGAGGGAGGTCCACAGCAACGTCTTACCTCCGGCCTCTGCTCCACATATGGAAAACATTGGCTCTACGATAGCTTCAAAAACAAGAAGGTGAAGGAAAGAAACGCAAACTAAAGACTTCAGAGCATGCAGTGAGAATGACATGATGTCTGTGATCCATGATCCAAACCAGATCACACAGTCCATTAGCCCCTGTAACTTACAACAAAGTCAGAAGTGAGAGGTGGAAATGATCTGTGTGAAACCAGGAAGGAAGAAGGCACCATCACTTCCTGATTCTTATTCCTGATTCCTGCCACCCGGGGACCCTGCTGAGGAGACGCCGCCTCAAACACAGATTAAAGAAAGTGTAGATACGAGACCCTGATGTTCACTTATTAACACATTCACTTTGACCTCTCACAAAGGGCTGCACTAATCTGATGGTTCTGTGACTAAACCAGGACCAGGACCATGGGGACCCTCTATGAGTTTATACCCACACACAAAGTGTGTGAGTGTGTGTGTGTTTGAGAGTCAGGCTGAGGATCAGCAGGAAGGGCGTGTGTCGGCTGGTTTCCTCTGCAGCAGGTTGTCTGATGGGTGTGAAGGGTGTGTGTGTGTTCAGGCTGGTTTTTGTGGTGTGAGTTGTGCGATCAGTGTTCACAGTAGTGTTTGTGTCATGTGCTGCTCGCTCCTTCCTGTGGCCCCGGCCTGAGAACCTCTCTCGGGTTGCAGCGTGTCCATGTGACTCGGCTTCCGTTGCTGCTGCTGCTTCCGTGAGTAGTAAGAAGAGCGTCGAGAGCGGGTGAACATCCCAGAGCACAAAGTCGCTCTGCAGGACCGAATCCACCAGCGAAATGGTCAGAGGATCAACCGACCGAGGCTTTGGAAATCTACTGCTAACTACCAGAGTGAGTAATGCACCGAGCGCCTGCTGCAGACTGACTCTGAACGCTTGACCATGTTTTATATCTGCACCAGCTGAGATCTGTGAAGGAAGGAGACAGACGTTAACAGCTGATGAGTTAATGGAGAGTGTTAGTGAACATGTTTCATTAAAAGTCAGTGACAGGTGAAATATTTACATTTTCCCTGAGCGCTGCAGATTCTTCATTTGGCTTCAGTTTGTTTTTGAGTATTTTAGAATCATGCTTTATTTTTTGAAACGTGATTTTTATTATTCTAGAATATTAGTCCTTAATATTTCTTACAAAGCATCTGTTTCACATCCAGAGAGTCTCTGAACGTCTCGCTGCCGACACCAAGCGCTTGCTGATCAAACTTAAAGAATCAAAGACAAAGATGGATTAAATAAGAGAAATGACTTCTTCAAAGATGAAGAGGAATTCAAGAGGACAAAGAGAGAGAAAATCCTTTAAAAGAAGGAAACAGATTTATTATTTAAAGACAAACAGCTGATCATGAACTCACTCGTCCTCTTTGGTCAAAATAATTAAAATAAGTTAGTGTAAAAAGGTTAAAGGTCAACTTTATTTAGAGATCACTTTAAAACACACACACACTGACTGACTGACTGCACGTTCTGAGGACCAACATCTTCTCCTCTGAGGGGCCCGTTTTTCTTAGATTCATATAAAGCAGCTCTGAGTTTGATGTTTAGTTTCCAGTTTGAGCTTTCGAGGCGTTTCCCGTAAAAACATTTATTTTTATATATATATATAATATTAACATATTGAACATCTGAAGGAGCTACAGAAACAAAACGTGCATAAAGCTTTACAACGACTCCACCCTGCCAGGACGAGATGAGCTGCACGCCCACAGGGAGAGAGCGAGAGAGAGGAGTTCATCTTTAGAATCTGAAAGAGTTCAGTTCAACTGATAGTTCTCATCAATCAAACGTCACCTAGATTCATCTCCCTGTCTCAACGCAACGTTAACCTGATCCATGCTGGAGGTTCAGAAGACGACGGGCGTCTCCAAATTATTTTTACTGAAGAGACGCACGACTGATCACTAACACATCATAATCTTTGTCTCTCTCTCCCCCCCTGCCCCCCTCTCTCTCTCTCCCTCTCTCCCCCCTCCCCCCTCTCTCTCTCTCCCCCTCTCTCTCTTTCTCTCTCTCTCTCTCCCTCCCTGCCCCCCCTCTCTCTCTCCCTCTCTCTTCCCCCCCACTCTCTCTCTCTCTCTCTCTCCGTCTCTCTCTCCCTCTCTCTCTCCCTCTCTCTCTCTCTCCCCCCTTCCCCCCACTCTCTCTCCCCCCTCTCTTTCTCAGCAGTGAGGATGTTAAGATGCTCGTCCTCAGGTTCACGCCCCTCCCGCTCTGCCTGGTCCACCTGTGGCGTCTCCTGACGCTGGTCTGTGGTCACCCACAACCCAGTCCATGTCAGCAGGTGAGGTTACATCCAGATGTCCGTGTGAACGTCCTGCAGGAAGCGCCACATGGGGTGTGTTCAGATGTTTCCCACTTTGCCTCATCAGGAAGCAAAAGAAGGAAGTGATCCGTCAATGTGCCAAAGAGAAACATTACAAAAAGTGCAGAGTGTTGAACTTTTCAGACTTTGGTTCATCTGCAACATCCAAACATCCCATTTTAACATTTAACAAGTTCACATTTGATCAGCCAATCAGAGTGGAGCTTCCTGAGTTCTGAGGAGCTCTGTGGTTTGGTTTGGACGCTCTGAGAGGGTTTTTCATGAGGAAACGACAAAATGACTTCATTATTTTGGTTGGGGGGTGAGTCTCTGCTCTAAGTGAAGGAGTTTAAGTATCACAGTGAGGGTAGGATGGAGCGTTGGCGGGAATGCGGGTGTTATACCGAACCGTCGTGGTGAAGAAGGAACTGAAGGTCTATCTTGGGCTTGAGCTTTGGGTAGAGACTGAAATAATATGGACATTAAAAGTTTCCTCTGGAGGGCGTGTGGCCATAGACCTGGTCCGGTTTGGTTCAGTAAACTCTGATCTTGCTTGCATTAGCTACATAATAGCATCGTTCTCTCTCGGCTGCTTTTAGTTTAAAAAATGACTCAAAGTCCTTTTTGATGCTGTCAATCATAAAATGAGATTGGATGGTTTAAAAACACGTGGTTGCCAAAAGTCTGATCTAAACCTCTGTGCTGTGCGTTTCCTCTGCAGGTCCAAAGGACGGCTCTGTGCGACAGGAAGGAGCTCTTCTGTGTTCCTGCAGGACTCTCCGAGCACACAGAGGAGCTTCAGCTGAACTTCAACCTCTTGAGATCACTACAGGACGACTCTCTGCTCCTTTACCCCTCACTCAGCACTCTGAGCTTAGCCTGCAACCGTCTGGAGACTTTACAATCGAACACTTTCAAAGAGTCTAAACTCTTAGAAAACCTCAACTTAGCAAATAACGTCCTTCATATGGGATATCAAGAAACCAGCCAAGCATTAAAGACTCTGCCCCGGCTACGAGTCCTGGATCTGTCTGTGAACGAACTCGATGACGAGATGGCGGGCTCTCTCCTCCAGAACCTGACGTCTCTGGAGTATCTGAATCTTTCTGGAAACCTCCTGAAGAGACTGGACGAGACATCGTTCAGAGACCTTCATCAGCTCAGAGAACTGGACCTGCAGAGAAACATCATGTTCGAGATCGACGGAGCCTTCGACTCCAACCCCAAACTGCAGAGACTGAACCTGGCCTTCAACTACCTGCCATGTCTGACCGACTTCCACATGACCCAGCTGATAGTCCTGAACGCCAGCCACAACAACATGGAGTGGTTCATCTCCAGACCGGACCTGAACGACTCCTTCCATCTGGAGACCCTCGACCTGTCCAACAACAAACTGCTCTTCTTCCCCTTCCTGCCAAACCACAGCCGTCTGCAGAACCTCTTCCTGTCACAGAACTCAATCCGCTTCTACCAACACATGGCCGACAACGACACGCTACTGAACTCTTCCACCGTCCAGTTCTACAACCTGAAGAAACACGAGCAGAGCAACGTGACAGCTCAGCTGTGGGACGAGAACCTACACGGTGACGTCTCCTCTGTGCGGATTTTAGACCTGACGGGGAACCAGGTGGAGTACTTCCCTCGAGGGTTCATGCAGAAGATGTCCGCTCTGTCCAGATTACGAATGTGCTCAAACTGTCTGCAGACTTTGAACCTCACGTCCGAGCGCTTCTCTGACAGCCTGTACGAGCTGGACGTCAGCAACAACCGTCTGAACAAGATCCTCGGAGATGAAGGTCCTCTGAGCGCGCTCAGTAATCTGACCTACTTGAACCTGAGTCTGAATGCCCTCACGTTGTTACCGTCTGGATTCTTCTGGTCTCTGAGCAGCCTGAGGTCTGTGGACCTCAGCTTTAACAACATCCACGTCTGCCTTGGACAGGAAGCGGACAACAGCACAGACTCTCTCTCCGCTTGTGTCGACTGGACGGACGTTGGATCCCTTTGTCAGCTTTACTTAAAGGGATGCAACCTGCAGAGGATTCCAGCGTCAGCGTTCAGCGGTTTGTCTTTAACTCATTTGGATCTCTCTGAAAACCCCGGACTCATCGTGGACGAGTCATTAGAGAGTGTGAGCAGGACGTTACAGCATCTTGGGTTAGGAAACACTCAGACACAAGACTTGGACTTCTCCCACTTCCAAAGTCTGAAGTTCTTAAACATCTCAGGAAACTCTCTCGTCCATCTCCCCCCCTCTCTCCTCAGTCTGGACCTGAGAGTTCTGGATCTGAGGGACAACAAACTGTCCACCATCCCCTCAGATCAGGCCAATGCGTTAGCTCCCAAACTGCACACGCTCTTCCTCACAGGAAACCCGTTTAACTGCTGCCAAACCGAGTGGTTCAGGACGTTTGAGCCGGTCCACATGGTCGCACAGTCAGACCTCCGATGTGAGGATCTGTTCCACGCCACACACAGAGTGGAGCGCTTCGACACGTTCCTGTGTTCAGAGGAGGCAGCTGAATCTTTACTGTGGTTGATTCTGCTCATTGTTCCTTTCTGTCTGCTTTTTGTGGCTGCTTCAGTTGTTTTCCTCCTCACCTTCAAGCCCCGAGTCCTCCAAAAGTCCATCAAGAAGAAATGTTTGAAGCCCACATCCTACTGAAACTTGATCAGCCTGTTTGTGTGTTTGTGAGGAACGCAGCTGAACGTGTGAAATAAAAAGGAATTATTGTAAAAACACTCATTAAGTCATGATCAGTGTTTAATATGTAAATCGTTAGACAGTTAAAAAGTGGTTAGACCATCATCCTGATGTAAAGATGTGTGTGTACATGCGTGCGTGTGTATGTGTGTGTGTACGTGTATGTGTACGTGTATGCGTGCGTGCGTGTGTGTGTGAACTTATGCAGAAGTTGTGTGATGCAAGCTGTTTCTATAAGCAGCAGAGGAAACATGAAATTTCCTGTTTTGCTCAGATGTGCAGCAACTGCCCAGTTCTGTATCTGAGAGGGGGACAAGGGGAAGGGGGAGGAGGGGGAGGGGGAGGGGGGCTTCCTTCCCATGACTGAAGCTCAGATAAAAATCACACAGGTCAGATAAATACATGAACACCTGCTCCTCTGCTGTGCACCTTGCAGCTGTGCACCTTGCAGCTGTGCAGAGAGGCCGCGTGCACTGAAGCAAACCTGCAGACAAGTAACCAATCAAAGGGTAGCTTCAGCAGGGGCGTGTGTGTGTGTGGTGTGTGTGGTGTGTGTGAGTTACTGTGTGTGTTACTGTGTGTGTGTGTGTGTGTGTGTGTGTGTGTCATTGCTCAGGAGTGTGGAGGCTTGATTACCGGTGTGTTGCCGTGCAGAGCGCCAAGGCCTAACCAGAAAGTAACCAGAATACCACTGTGGTGTGTTCAGGGTCATGGTGGTTGGAACAGAAAAGAGAAACCCGAGTGACGCTTTGACAAAACCTTAAAACCCGACTGTTACACACCAGGACGATCACTGGGAGCCTGCAGGGGTTGAAACGAGAGCAGCAGGGGGGCTGGAGACAGAGGTTACAGATGTGTGACTGTTAGCTTTGAACACCTGAAAACACCATCAGGGTCACTTCATCATCATCATGAGAGGAGGAGGAGGAGGAGGAGGAAGAGGAGATGTCAGAGTCAGCAGTATGTAAGTTATGTCTGTACAAAGACTCGTAGATGTTCCAGATGTTCTTCATTCTGACGGTAAAGAGCTGCAGCAGAAAGAGGTCGAGCATGTTGTGCAAGAGTTGAGAAATTTTAATTTGAGGAAGACACTTTGTCCCTCATCACAGATCGTTGACCAAGAGGAATGTCATTTGATGACTCAGCGACGTTTGAAGCTGACGTACGGAGAAGATTCTGGTATATTTACAACTTGTGTTTACGCCGTCCTTCACTAAAATAATCAAACCGACGCTCTAAACATGGAGACAGAGAGAGACACCACACGAGCTGTGAAAAGTTTAAACTCAGAACATATTCTACAGAAGTAAAAAAAATAATCCAAAGAGAAGAAAGTGTGGGGAGGGGCTGAGACAACCACGCAACGCGCTGTGACCTTCAGATCTTAAAACTAAATGAAGTCTGCCTGCTCTCGAGACGACGTTTAAATCTGACGTTAAAAACACAGAGACCACAGACATGAGGACGCTTTCTAACTTTTCTAACCACACACATGAGGCCTCACACCTGCTGTTTGTAGGACACGAGGTCGCTGCTACAGGTATTCAGCAGCCGGATTAGGAATCATAAATATAAATATTGTGGACCTAGTCCACACGGAGGCAGGTTATTTTTTTAAAAGTCCACACGCTCTCAAAAACATCTGCGTCCACATGAAAACACAAAATGCACCGTCAAGCTGCCACGAGCATTATTTCTCACCATAATTCCTGTGCAATGTCCATTTCATTTGGCAAAGTTGTCCAATCAGGCGCCTCTGCCCGTCTGTGTCAGTGAGAGGGAGACGCCCGCCTGCTTAGGTGCATGACGTCAAATCAACTGGCCCCGCCCCTCTCTACCTGAAGGAGAGATACAAGGCATCAGGAGGAGCACTGACACAGTCTCTGCTCATCCACAGTGGGAGAGTAACTGTGTGTGTGTGTGTGTGTGTGTGTGTGTGTGTGTGTGTGTGTGTATGTGTGTGTGAGTATTTAAAAAGTCCAGTTAGCAACTAAAGAGACAGCGTCGCACGCTGACGTAGTATTTCACAAACTGAAACTGGTGCTGATGGTTTATAGATCGGGTTAAAGTGAAGAAGGAGGCAACATTTCTGCTGACAGGCTCAAACAAACAAACAAACAAACAAACAAACGTCTAAGTATTCGTGACGAGCTGATGAAAGTTTATCTGTGAAGCAGCATCTTCAGCTGACACATCAGATTCTCCTCTGTAAAGTAACAAAACGTTGATTTCACACACACACACACACACACACACACACACACACACACACACACACACACACACACACACACACACACACACACACACACACACACACACACACACACACACACACACACACACACACACACACACACACACACACACACACACACACACACACACACACACACACACACACACACACGTCAACAAGTGGAAAAATCAATCTGATATAGAGGAAGTGTTTCTCAGCATGTTATCTGACATCAGACGGTTATTTATAGTGTCAGAATAACTGTCTGCTCTCATCTCTAAATTCTTTTCCATCTCTACATATTTTCACATTTCCTTTATTTAAACTCTCCTTCCTAATGTAAACAGAGTTTACAGGGTCAAAGATCAGGGGTTAGTTGAGCTGGGGGTGTTATTGAGGTGCTGCTGAAACATGTGAAAAATGGTTTTCTGAGTGCTGACATGCAGGAAGTTCCTCAGAAGGCTGTTTGCAACACTCCACTTCCTCTTAACCCTTGGTGCTGTGATGACAGGGAGGAGTCAGACGTGGTGCTCTGCGGTGGCGGACGTTTGGACAGGAAGAGCGTCAGAGTGTGATCGTGTGTGGGGGGGCTCCTAAAGATGACAAACATCAGAGTGTAGACCCCTCTCTCTGCACAGCCTGCATCACCTCATTGCTCATCAGGCTGACAGCAGAGGGTGATAGACCACATGTCCCAGACCCAGAGAGGGGTCGGCCACAATCTTACCTGCACGCCTCAGGGTCCTGGAGGTGTGAGAGATGGCAGCTTCTCAGCAGAGCGGATGCTGCGCTGCAGTGTAGCAGACTGTGAAGGAGGATGGCAGTGTAGAAGTGAACCATCATGGTCTTTGGCAGGTTGAACTTCTTCAGCTGCAGCAGGAAGTAATGGTAATAGACTTGAGCTTATACAGCGCTTTTCTAGTCTTCCGACTACTCAAAGCACTTTTACACCACATATCACACCCACCCATTCACACACTGATGGTAGTGATTGCTATGTAGTATCATCCATCAGAAGTAACTAATCCATTCATACACCAACACCGAAGAAGTGGGAGCAATTCAGGGTTAAGTGTCTTGCCCAAGGACACAACAGACATGTTGCTCAGCTGGGGCTCGAACCCTGCAACGACTCTACCAACTGAGCCATAGCCGCATCCTCTGCTGTCCTTTCTTGATGAGCAAGGTGACGTTCAGCTCCCAGTTGAGGTCCTGGGTGATGATGGTCCCCAGGAACCAGAAAGACTCCACAGTAGACACCGTGGATTCACTGATGGTGATGGGGGGGCATGCAGGAAAGGAGCACTGGCCGGATTTGAACACCGATTGCATGTTTTGAAGACTGAAGACTCCGTACATGGGGCGTGCACACCAACCACTAGGCTACCGGCGCCCTAACTTCTGATACTTGGAAGAAATATAAAATCATCTCTGTGAGGAGAAAGAGTTCATATTTTAATGTTTGATATGAAAAGTTATATAAAGAATCCCTCGCTTGATGTCTCTTTTAAAGAAAACTAAGTTATTTTTACAAAGACTTCATCAAAAAGTTCAAGATGGAACGTGTCCTCGAGGATTGATGGGGGCGTGTCAGTCTGTGGACTTGAGTTGGGAACCAGAGGGTCGCTGGTTTCAACTCCCGGTTCAGACCGAAGTATGGAAGTTAGTCTGGTTGGCTGGAGAGGTGCCGGGTCACTTCATGAGTACTGCCGACCCCAAACCACACCGTGTAGCAGCCTCGCTCTGAGATCTCACAACTGATGTCCACAGCTCCTGTGTGTGTCTGTGTGTGTGTGTTTCAGATGACGTGTGTGGCTCTCAGTAACAGAGACCAGAAGTTCCCCTCACGGTTAATAAAGTACATCATAACTACAAATTGTGTTCAGTTAAATAAATGAGACTGACTTTATAAATGACCTGTTTTTATGTTTGACACATCCTCATGAAACTCTTCATGTGCTCTTCTGCCCCCTTGTGGTTGAACCAGGAAGTAAAAAGCTGACAGATCTTCAGAGAACATGAAACAAACTCAAATCTCCAGTCGTTCATATTTTCTTATTTAATGCATCATATTGTTTTGATATTTTACATGTTTTGCATGTTCAGTTACACATGAAACAAAATGCAGCCATGAGGTGAGAAAAGGGATCTCCCAGAACGGAACGAAGCGTTCCTGTTGAAATGAAGGTCAGAGAGAAACGGAGCTTCATGTTACAAACATTAAGGATAAAAAACGATGATGATGATGTTTGTACAGAGATTGAGAATTCAGCAGAGGTATAAAAAAACGTCTTCTGGTTAAAGAAGAACTTTCTGTTATTTCCAATATAAATAATGGCGAGACTAAAAAGCGTCTGAATACGGCGGGTCAACGAGGCACTTCCTGACGTCTGGCTTAAAAAGGAATCATCGATAAGACAAACGGCTCTGACCGCAGCATCAGAGTCAAACTGAAGTCCATCTCTGCGTTAGACACGTGATTATCTCTAGAGGGCGCAATTCTCAGGGCGTTCAGCTTGCCGTCTCTCACCAACGTAAACAAACTTTAGATCTGATCGAAGTTACCGTTAGGGAGATGGTCAGGCACATACGGCAGATTACAGGGGATCAAACACAAAGACTTGAAGCAGGTGGGAGAAATGTTCTGCTGATACACATCAGGGGGGGGAGCTATGGAAAGGGGGAGGAGCTGGGGTGGGGTCCCCTCAGTCCAGCTCCAGTTCATAAAAACTGAAAGATTTTAAACTTTGACTGAAATTACGGCATGAGGCGACTCAAGATAAACAAGAGATCACAGCGGGGGAGGGGGTTGATGTAGGGTTGTGTATGGGTGTTGGTGGGGGGGGTGGGATGATGTAGGGCGGGGTATTAGTTAAACAGCTCCAGGTAAGTGATGGGGACTTTTCCTTTCTGGTTTCCTCTCTCTCCCATCAGCCAATCTGAGTCCATGCCGGGGACGCTGCTCACTGTGATCACCTGAGGACACGGACACACACGCACATGCACACGCACAAATTAATATGTGTAAAGATAAACCAATCTTAGCGTTAAAGATATGAGTGAGTCGTCCTGGATCTGTAAAAACGATGCACGGTCTGGTTAAGTTTTGAACCGGTTTGATGAGGTTTAGCTTTCTATCCCTTGTTTATCATCTTTACTCTCGGGAGACTTTGAGTCTGACCTTTGACCTCTCATGAGAGAAAGGTAAGCTAAAGGGGCTCTCCAGTTAGCATAGGTTAGCTCACGAGGAGATTCACAGTTCTCCTCTTCAGACGACAGAGTGAAACATGCTAGGATGCTAACATTAGCAAGCAGCAGCCTGAGCTGAATATAAAACACTTTCTCTGATAGAAATGAGAGCATGTCAGGATGAAACCTGCAGAACAGTTCAGTGTCTGACCTCGTCAGCCAGCAGGGAGAGCTCGCTGCTGCTTGCCGCGTCGTAGTCGTACAGGACTCGAGCTTTGCGGCTGCTGTTGGAGCTCCTCAGCTCATTAAATCCTCCTGATGTTCCCCCGGAGACACTGCTACCCCCGGAGACGCTGGGCAGAGAGGCTGACACGGGGATGGTTGGAACAGAGATGCTGGCTCCGCCTGACACTGACGACTGGTTGTTGTTGGAGAACGAGGAGGGGAAGCTGATGGAGAGAGAGAGAGAGAGAGAGAGAGAGAGAGAGAGGGCTGAAGAAGGGTGGCTTCAGGCACAGCTTGACTGCCTGTCATCTTCAAACTAGACCTTGGTAATATTTGTCTACTGACGGGTGAACATGAGTCACCTCTACATGGACTCTGGAGCAGGTTGACACCAGTTTGTTTTTGACTGACAGCTGCATGCACTAACATATATATTGTGTTTCTGTCATGATGATGTCATGATGGTTGATGATCACCTGCCCAGCTGTTTCTGCAGATCCCCCATGTACTGGTAACACTGGGCGTAGTATGTCGTCTGAGCCTCCACAAAGTCGTTCAAACAGCGAAGATGGTGAGCCTGAGGGGAGACACAGGTTAGAGAGAGGACACACAGAGAGAGGACACAGAGAGAGAGAGAGGACACACAGAGAGAGAGAGAGAGAGAGGACACACACAGAGAGAGAGAGAGGACACACACACACACACAGAGAGGACACACAGAGAGAGAGAGAGAGGACACACACAGAGAGAGGACACACAGAGAGAGAGAGAGAGGACACACAGAGAGAGGACACACAGAGAGAGGACACACACACACACAGAAAGAGGACACACACAGAGAGAGAGGACACACACACAGAGAGAGGACACATACACAGAGTAAGGGAATATTGTGAAAATCTGGGAATAAATTCCTTACCAACCAATTTCTACACCAATGTGTTTCTAAAGGTGTCTAGTTACACATATAAAAAGATTTAAATTCAACTCCTGTAGGAAAATCTGTGAGAGCTGCTGAAACTTCGGGTACCTGTGCCTTAAATAGCATATTTAGGGTCAAATTAGGGGTTATTTGGGATGCTGAATTTATTGCAAGCATTTATTTTGCACCAAAACCACTCCTTGGTAGAGAAACGGCCACACCCACTTTTCCAGATCTCTTGAAAACCCTTAGTTTAGGTGAAAATCAATGTTGCTTGTTGCATTGAATTATAAAGTATCTTCATAGGTCTATTTATAATCTATTAGTGATGGTAACTACCTTTTATTAACTGTTAAATGTTGCAGTTGGTTAACATTTGTAGCAAGTGAGTGAGTTTTGAGTGGCAGGTGCCAGTCGTGCTCAAGCCATCCTGTGGATCATGGACAGACACAATAGATTCCACACATACCAAATAATATTCACCGGTCAAAGAGATATTGCAAGATGATTTTAACTCTGATATGTACATATTACTTACATTATTTACAACTGTAAATATTGAATGTCACTACATTGATTAATACTATAATAAGGAGTGTACTGTCATCAAACTAGCTTATAGCTAGCAAACACTAGGTAGTCTGGTTAGTTAGCTAACATCCACACACCCCAAGTGCATCTGATTACTATTTTACTTACTTGAATGATAGCTGACTGCGTCATGCTAACATTAGCTAGCTATCGCAGGGGCTTGTTTTGGTTTATCAACGTTTTTTTTTTTTGCAGTAACTGTACACCTGTCTCCCTATTTGCTTCAAAATACAACATAGTAGAGAAGATATCTGTCCACATGACAAAGGATGTCATGTTGTTGAAACCTATAGTGAGGACGGATGAAAGAGTGGCAAAGGCCTTTTGGGCTCGGTCAGGGGTATTGCCGTACATGATGGGGCTTGCCATACAACTGTATCATAGATTTGGGTCAAAGTGGATGCTCAACAAGTTACGCCGGTTAGGGTACACAGAGTCTTATGCAGAAATACAAAATTACAAATACTGCTTCCTCAATGACAAGAATGGAGTGGGATGGAGTTTCAAGGTTCTGGCGCTCTTGGTACCAATGTTGAAGAAACCGACAATCAGATAGATGATGAGATTGAGGTTGACATCCAACTTGGGGGTCTATTAGTTACGACAGCTGGTAAAAGTGAAATACAAAGTTACAATCAGACGAACATCATGGATGTCAATCTGCTCAGTCACTCAGTTTGTCGGAGACAATATAGATTTGAACATTGTTGAAATTTATGGGAACACTCCCTTTCATCCTCCCAGTCATCGAATGTGACCCTAATGACCACAAGACCATCTTCACCACTCTCAAAGAGTGCATGCGTCTCTCCAGGGACAAAGTCACCATAGTGACCTTCGATCTCCCCATCTGACTCAAGGTAGGATATCATAAAGCAGGTGAATCTATCCATCATTTCAAGGTTGGGTGGGTTGTATTGAAACTGATGAAGGCGGCCAAGTCAGATGGTCGGTTGAGCAGAGGGAGGATGAGAAATAGTGATTCAGGCCACAAGTGCTGGGTGCAGACCCTCAACCACTTCTCCGATGTCAACCAGCGCATGAAGGAAGGTGTCAAGAAAGACAATCAACTCCACAAAGACCTTTCCAGAAAACTGATGAAGTGAGACGCTGAAGCAGTTGAATTTACCCTCAAAAAGGTTTGAGGAGACCAACCCATTTGACCACGATCGAGTTGCTTGTGTCCTTCTCAACAGGATTCATGAGCACTGCGGGTGACACAGTCAACGCTGAGAGAGCGGAAGTTGGGAGGTAAATGCAGATAAAGCTGGATGGACAGTCAGTGACATTGACCAAGGAGGTGAAGTTCAAGGTGCTGGCCCTGTCATCACTGAGAAATATTCCCAAGGTCAAAGACAAGATGGTTTACCTTAACTCACTCAAGTTGTTCACCTGACTGATAATCTTTGCCCAACGGGATATAACAGTTGAGACAAGCTTAGAGTATGAGTTGACTCCCTTCCCCTTGTTCCCCCAAGGCGAACAAAGCAGGCTTTTCCAAAACAAGCCTGAAAGACTAAAGATCCGCTTGACCTCACAGACCAACCCTGCTCCAGTCTGGTGGTTGATGGAGGATGGCTTCTCAACTTGGTAAAGTGGGAACAAGGTCAGACTTGGCAGGAGATTGCAGGCAGTTACCTGAGGTTTGTGCAGTGTCTAGGCAGTCGCTCCCAGAAGATCATTGTGGTCTTTGATGGCTATAGTAGCTCGCCAAAAGAACATGACCACATCCAGTGTAAGAAGTGTAAGATCCAGCTGTAATCTACAGATTCGACCAGATATGATACATTTGACAACATCAGTGTTTCCCCTACCATTATATTAGGGGGGTGGCTTTTTGTGCCTTTATTGTAGAGATAGGATAGTGGATAGAGTTGGAAATCAGGGGCAGAAGTCATTTAAGGATACCTTTCTGATAGAAAAGGACAGCTGTCAAAAGTAACCCATGAACACCAAGATTCCTTCAAGTGTTTGTGTCACTGTGTCGGCGTGTGCCCCCCCCCCCCCCAAACTCAAACTCAAATTTAATAATACTTACATATCAGAGTTAAAATCATCTTGCATATCTCTTTGACCGGTGAATATTATTTGGTATGTGTGGAATCTATTGTGTCTGTCCATGATCCACAGGATGGCTTGAGCACGTCTGGCACCTGCCACTCAAAACTCACTCACTTGCTACAAATGTTAACCAACTGCAACATTTAACAGTTAATAAAAGGTAGTTACCATCACTAATAGATTATAAATAGACCTATGAAGATACTTTATAATTCACATGCAACAAGCAACATTGATTTTCACCTAAACTAAGGGTTTTCAAGAGGTCTGGAAAAGTGGGCGTGGCCGTTTCTCTAGTGGTTTTGTATGTAAAAAAATGTAAAAAAAATCAAAAATTTCAAATTTTCAATCAATAGGGTTCCAGGTACCCGAAGTTTCAGCAGCTCTCACAGATTTTCCTACAGGAGTTGAATTTAAATCTTTTTATGTGTGTAACTAGACACCTTTAGAAACACATTGGTGTAGAAATTGGTTGGTAAGGAATTTATTCCCAGATTGGCCATATATCTGATAAAATTCCCTCACTATCTGGATTCAGAAACTCTGGCTAACTACAGGCCTATATCCAACCTTCCTTTTTTCTCAAAAAAAAGGAAGGTGGTAGCTAAACAGCTGTGTGACTTTCTCCATGACAACAGTTTATTTGAGGAGTTTCAGTCAGGATTTAGAGTCCACCATAGCACTGAGACTGCACTAGTTACAGTTACAAACGATCTACTTCTAGCTTCAGACAGGGGACTTCTCTCTGTGCTCGCTGTTAGATCTTAGTGCTGCTTTTGACACCATTGACCATCGGATCCTGTTGTACAGACTGGAGCATTTGCTTGGAATTACAGGGACTGCTTTAAGTTGGTTTGAATCCTACTTATCAGACCGATCTCAGTTTGTACATGTTAATGATGAGTCCTCTATGCACACTAAAGTTTGCCATGGAGTCCCACAAGGTTCAGTGCTTGGACCAATTCTCTTTACATTATATATGCTTCCTCTGAGAAATATTATGAGGAAACACTCCATACAGTTTCATTGTTATGCAGATGATACTCAGCTTTATGTATCAATGAAGCCCGATGGCACCAGTCAGTTATGTCAGCTAGAAACGTGCATTAAGGACGTTAGGACCTGGATGACCAGAAACTACTTAACTCAGACAAGACTGAAGTTATTGTGCTAGGCCCTAAGAACCTCAGAGAGATTTTTTCTAGTGATTTGACTGTCCTTAATGACATCAGACTGACATCTAGCACCACTGTTAGGAATCTAGGAGTTCTTTTTGATCAAGATATGTCTTTTAGCTCTCACATCAGACAAGTTTCAAGACCAGCCTATTTTCACCTTCATAATATATCCAAGATCAGGAATATCCTGTCGCAAAATGATGCAGAAAAACTAGTTCATGCATTTGTTACCTCCAGACTGGATTATTGTAACTCTCTTTTGTCAGGGTGCTCTGGCAAGTCTCTAAAGACTCTTCAACTGGTCCAGAACACTGCAGCTCGTGTACTGACCAGAACCAGGAAATGGGACCACATCACTCCTGTCTTGGCTTCTCTGCACTGGCTCCCCATACAGTCTAGAATAGAATTCAAGATCCTTCTTCTCACCTACAAAGCTCTAAATGGCCAGGCACCATCTTATCTTAAGGAGCTACTAGTGCCGTACTGTCCCTCAAGAGCGTTGCGGTCCCGGAGTGCAGGCCTGCTGGTGGTACCTACAGTCTCTAAGTGTACTATGGGGGGTATAACCTTCAGTTATCGGGCTCCTCTCCTCTGGAACCGCCTTCCAGCCGGGGTCCGGGAGGCAGACACAGTCTGTATTTTTAAGAATAGACTTAACATTTTCCTTTTTGATAAATCTTATAGTTAGTGCTGGTGTAGACCAGCTCTTAGTTATGCTGCTATAGGCTTAGACTACTGGGGAAACTGGCACCTTGAGCTCGTCTCTCTCTCTCTCTCTCTCTCAGTACATAATATTACTGCATGTATCTATCTGTAAATCTCAGTCACTAACTACCTACTTTCCTGAGAGCTCTTGACCTCTCTTAGGCTCCTCAAAATCGTTGGTTGACGGCCTGCCAGAACAACCCCCCCCCACCTCCCCCTCTCCACCGGATTGTTGATGGACGGTCTGCCTCCCCCCACCCCCTTGCTCCCTATCCCTCTTCCTGCATCTTATCCCATCTCTCCCCCTATCCCTTTCCAACCCCGGCGCAGTCTAGGCCTGAGAAGGCTGTTTCGTCATGAGCCGGGGATCCGGCTGAAGATTTCTGCCTTTTAATCAGGCAGTTTTTTCTTACCACTGTAACTTTTGCTGCTTTGCTAAAGTGCTCATGATGGATAGGCCGGGTCTTTGTAATATAGCAATAAGTAAGGTCTTTTACCTGCTTTTTGTAATGTTAACAGACAGCGAGTAAGGTATTTTACCTGCTTTTTGTAAAGTGTCTTGAGATAACACTTGTTATGAGTTGACGCTATACAAAATACATTTAATTGAATTTAATTGAATAGAGAGAGGACACAGAGAGAGAGGACATACAGAGAGAGGACACACAAAGAGAGAGGACACAGAGAGAGAGGACACAGAGAGAGAGAGGACACACACACAGAGAGAGGACACAGAGAGAGGACACACACAGAGAGAGGACATACATAGAGGACACACAGAGGACACACACAGAGAGAGAGGACACACATAGAGGACATACAGAGAGAGAGAGAGGACACAGAGAGAGAGGACACACACAGAGAGAGAGGACACACACACAGAGAGAGGACACAGAGAGAGAGGACACACAGAGAGGACACAGAGAGGACACACAGAGAGAGAGAGGACACACATAGAGGACACACACAGAGAGAGGACATACATAGAGGACACACACAGAGGACACACACAGAGGACACACACACAGAGAGAGGACACAGAGAGAGAGGACACACATAGAGAGAGAGGACACCACATTACAACAGAGCTGCTGCAGAGACATATGTGTGTGCTGTGTTAAATACGAGTGTGTGTGTGTGTGTGTGTGTGTGTGTGTGTGTGTGTGTGTGTGTGTGTGTGTGTGTGTGTGTGTGTGTGTGTGTGTGTGTGTGTGTGTGTGTGTGTGTGTGTGTGTGACATACGTGTGTGCTGCTGACTCCCTCCAGCAGCAGTCTGGTGATCTCTGCCTGACGGTCAAACTCGCTCTGGGTCATCCTCAGCTCCTGTTCGGCCTGACGACGCAGAGAACATCATCATGATCACACAGACACAGACACACACAACACACAACACACACACACAACACAGAGACACACGTGATGATTGATGGATGTAAAAGAACATATGAATGAATGTCAGACTGAAACAGTGGATTAGTCGAGGATGACATATAAAGACTTTCAAATTAAAGTGTTTGTTCATTAAGTACGACATGACTGTGACACCTTTAAAGTCTTGAAGCTGTAAGTCTGAACATGTTTGGAGTCGGTTACCATGGCGATCTATCCAGCTTGGTGACTTAGAACTGTGACTTTAGTCTGTAAGGGCTCATTTATAACCGTTGCATACGCACAGAACGGGGTCTGAAACTGGCGTATGCCTTTTCCCACGCAAAGTTTGTGATCTATAAAAACAAACCTGATGGTAAAATGTGCACAACGGTAAGCAAACTGTGACCCAGGTGTATGTTCATTTTGGAGGCATGGGAAATTCTCTCTTCCACATTTTATTTCACTAAATATCAAACTTTACTGACAGATCTACGTCATCAGAATCATTCAAACCAATGGTTTTATTTAGGCTATAATCACACATGTAGTGAGCTGTTTCCAATGAGTCACTTTCATTTTGACAATATATAAACATAAAATAAAAAATGAAAGTCCGTCAGATACATATTCCATCACCGCCGTTTCGCCTTCATTTTCCCGGACGAGCCCCAGAGAACCGGACTGTACACTAATGTAATCACTGATGTTGAATTAAAAGTTAGCTTAAAATCATAGAGCCTCCAGTTTTCATTAATATCTTTCAATATCGTGCATTTACCACGATAAAATGTGGCCAACAATCAACTATTTTTGTTCGTTGATCAAACCTTTGATTACTAATATGATAGAGTGAGGGAGACTGCTGACTGACGTGAGCACTCTGACAATATGAAGAAGTCAGTGTGGGTCCTGCAAACATTGTAGATATACTCGTGTGTAATGATGAACGCTGGATGTTTTGGTGCTGTAGGAGGACAGTGGGAATGCAACATTCTGTCATTCTCAGGCAGTCATTCTCAGATTTTTCTTCAGTCTTTCTTCGTCTAAACTTCCGGGTTTCGCCGCGATCCAGCGCTGGAAACCTTTGCTCTGCCCCCTCATTTGTATGCATTTTCATTCACGAGCTGCTTTGCATTGACCGTTTATGGTTGATTGCGGGCGTGTAGCGGGCGGAACATGGGACTAATCTACATGCGCGCATTTCCAGGTGGATCGTTATTTATAAAGGGAACAGCGCGTGCAGGTGTGCGTATGAACGGTTTTATTAATCTGAATCATTTTGTGCACATGCCATTTCCGGGTTTTTGGCGCACGTACATTTTTAGTATGGATTCTACACACTCTTTTATAAATGAGATCCCTGCACCTTACACGTGACGATGTTGTTTCCTTTTCCTCACACGGACCCAAAACATTCAGAGCTGCAGGAACAATGGCCGCCTCACGCTTTCATAAACAAACTGAGGAGCTCAGATCAGAGACAAACACTGTCCTCGAGGGAGGGGGAGAAAGAGAGAGGGGGAGAGAGAGAGAGTGCAAGGGAGAGAGACAGAGAGAGAGGGGGAGAGAGAGAAACAGAGGGGGGTTGTTTCTTATAGAATCGTCTTTAAGATTTTGAAGTTTTCAACGAGGCAGCTGCTGTGTGTGTGTGTTGAAATCAAACATGGCCGCTGTAACATTCCACTCACCTCTGTCACTTCCTGCGCTCACATCTGCTGCTTTGTGTTTTAAAAACAGTGACACACAAGTTAGAGCTACAGCTGCTGCAGCATGAGGACAGCACACACATCGTATACTTACACTGTGTGTGTCTTGATGGTGAGAGACGCCCCGAGAGCAAATGATGTTAAAGAAAAACATTTTAATCTGCATTTATAACACACACGCACGTTAAACTGCTGTGTGTGCATTAACTTACCGCAGCTCTGGCGTCGGCCATCCGTGCTTTCTTTAGCCGAGTTTTGGCGGCGTCCAGATCCAGACGTTTGACCTGCAGCAGCTTCCGTTCTTTCTGCAGAGAGACAAAGGACAAGGTGAAGATGTTTCTGATCCTTCAAAGAGCTGTACGTAAGACGGGATGTCACAGAGTTTGATCTCTGATCGATTCATCAGGACTTCACTCATGTTCACAGGATTAGATTAGAGAGTTCAGTCCTAACTCACCAGGATGGTTTTAAAGTCTCCTTCCAGAAAGTTCCTGAAAGGTGTCAGGAAGTTGATGGCAGCACTTTGGATTAACTCTCGCTCCGCCCCCCCGATCTGCTTCTCCGTCTCTCCACATTTTATCAGAGCGTTTCCTGAAAGAGACACGTGAATTAAACAACACTCTCTCACGCATGGCGAGAGCAGGACACACCGCATCCTATCTGAAAGGCGCTTAAGACCGCTGCAGGCTTTCATCAGAGGATCATCACCATGACAACACTTTATCATGAACACTTTAAGGAATATTGTTGGACAGAGGTTTTCCTCTCACCTCTCTGATGAAACAGACGTATGATGACGAAGCTTTGTTACTTTCCCATCTTTTAAATTCAATAACAGAGTCTGTAAGGTTTGAAACACCAGGTATCATAAAGTATGTAAGGACACACTCACACTAGTCAAGTCCAGTTTGACCCGTGTGAGTGCTCTGATCACTTCCTCGGCCCTGGCTTGCTTTGAAGAGGTGTTCTTCAGCACGGTACAGTTCATGCACGAGCACGAGCACGGGCACACAACGTGGTCAGCCTTCAATGAGGAGAAACCCCGGAGTGTTCAGTCTGTATCTGACTCCGTGTTTGTTTTGTGTCATGCTATTTTCCTTATGGTTGTGTGTGTTGGCCCTCTACTGGGCACTATGTGTAGCCTGGGCGGATGCTGTGGTTAAAGCAAGGCTCCAGGTGAGGTGGGACAGGTGATTGAATGGAGGCAAACAGTTTTTTTACCGTGTCAGCCTGTCGGAGTTAAACACATCCAACGCGGATTTGTTTGTTTTATTTATAGACAGCGGTTCATTATATTTTCCTTTATTTGATAAGAAGTGTTTAAAATAAATGGATTGAAATATCCAAATCACAACATCAATGGACTGTGTTAATTTCTTCTAGGTAAGCACGCGTCCAAAAGCTTCCACATTCCTCCCTCAAGTGACTTTTCCAAACAATATTGGGTTTGTTAAAATTGGTCACTACATGACCCATGACATGTCCGTCTGTCTCATAAACTGAGCATGCTTCATGACCACGTAAAGTCGTGCATGTGTTGTGTTACGAGGTAGCCGTGCTCAAGCCTGGTTAGTCCTGGAGCAGTGTGAGAGCAGGCGGGGGGATGTGGAGGGGGGACAACAGGGCCGAGTATATATTTGTGACATCATCATATAGTAGAGGAGGTATTTCTTCGTCAGTCAGTTCCTCAGAGTCCTGCAGGTGATGGACAAGTGTTTAGGAGGCGGTACATCAGCGTTACTCACCGTATGCAGTTCCTGGACCAAACTCGCTCCCTGATTCGATCATGGACTGTCCCAGCAGCTCGTGGTTGTTCATTCGCGTGGGGGCTTTTTTCTCCAGCTTCTCATACACAAACTCTTCTAAACGGACATCTGCGGAAGAATGCAACAAGGAAACTCAATTACAGAGTCATGAGACCTCAGACTTCAGGACACACATTAAGGAAACAGAAGCTTTCATTGGACGATGAGAGGAATCAAGTTCTCCTCTCAATGAATGGAATTAGTTTCATGTTTCCTCATCACATGACGGAGGCTGCAGATCTACGTGAGACACGGAGCAGAACAAATCCAGTTTACACGACCAGAACACCAGAGAGTGTATGTGTGTGTCTGTGTGTGTGCGTGTCTGACTGTGTGTGTATGTCTGTCTATCTGTGTGTGTGTGTGTGTTTCTGACTGTTTGTGTGTCTGTGTGTGTTTCTGACTGTGTGTGTGTGTGTGTCTGTGTTTCTGACTGTGTGTGTCTGTTTCTGACTGTGTGTGTGTGTTTGTGTGTGTTTCTGACTGTGTGTGTGTGTGTGTGTGTGTCTGTGTCTCTGTGTGTTTCTGACTGTTTGTGTGTGTGTCTGTGTGTGTTTCTGACTGTGTGTGTGTCTGTGTGTGTTTCTGACTGTGTGTATGTGTGTATGTGTGTGTGACAGACTGACGGGGGTCAAACGACAGCTCAGAGGTTTAGTTGGACTCTTGGTACTCGATACATGAAGGCAGCTCTCTGTTAGAGGCCATGATGCTTTCAGCGTTGATTATTTATTTAAAATATGGAGATAAATAAGACAGAATGAAGCTTGTATGTGTACGAGCCATGCAGCAGGTCGGCGTCCTGTAACTTCATTTAATGTGCAGTCTCCTCTCTGGTGTAATAACTACAAGTCTATCCATCTAGAAGTATAGATGGATGTCTCAAATAAATGCGGGAACATTTCATAGACTGAAAAGAATCAAAGCCCGGGCTGTGAATGGAAGCTTCACATGTATAACTAGACAATTTGCATTTACCTGCAGAAAATGCGTGGGAATGCTGACCGCTGAAATGTTTTGCAAAACACTGCTGAATGAAGAAGAATCAGCAGAAACAGCTGGTCAAGCATGAGCGTGTGTTAGACGGTCTCATCGCAGCTCCTGCAGATTTTGATATTTTTAGTGCTTCTGCAAACTATTAAGAAAAGTATTTTCTTGACCCACGATTACGTAAGACTTCACAGACAGTAACCATGCCAAAAGCAGCGCAGAAAACGAAAGATTTGTCGACATTTCTGTCGGCTAACTCTACAGCAAGGCTAGTTAGCCAATCTGACGAATGTCTCTCCACGACAGCGGCTGCAGACTTCCAGGCTGCCATCGATAAGTTAAGGACTGAAAACCTCGAGTTGCTTGCAAACTTTCAGAAAGAGTGTGGGGCTGCTATTTCAGCTCTACAGCAGGTGGTTGATGTGCATGGGAAAAAGATTCAGGATGTAGAGGAGTCCCTCACCGATGCCAATGACCAGCTCTTGGGACTGGGCGAGACGGTGACGCAGCTATCGAAAGAAAACGAGGCCATGAAAAAACAACTCGACTATCTGAGTAACTACACGCGAAGAGAGAACATCAGCATAATCGGCCTGCCCGAATCTGCAGAGATGCCCGAATCGGCTAATTTCGTCAGTAACCTCCTTCGTGAAGTTTTTGGCCCTAATGCTTTTGAGATGCCCATCATCACTGACAGAGCCCACTGGACTGCCGGGCCCAGGCCGTCAGCAGGGGACAGGCCAAGGCCACTTCTGGTTCGTATGCACAGCTACAGAGTACGCGAGCTGGTGCTGCGTCTTGCCAGTTGCCACGAGGGGCTGATCTTGTACCAGGGTAAGCGGATTCACTTCTTTCCGGACGTCAGCCCGGAGGTGGCCCGGCTTCGCTCCTCGTTCACCGCTGTGAAGCGCAGGCTCCATCAGGCTAACATCTCTTTCTGCCTCTACCATCCCGCTCGTCTGGTTTTTGTGTGGAACAACGATAAGGTGAGCTTCACTAGCTCGTCTGAGGCTCTGGACTTTATTAACAAGCACATACCGACACCGACGACCACGGGGGATTCTGCTAGCACCTCTGTTATGTGACTTTCTGGTGGTGAGCTGTCTTGTTAAACATAATCTGTTTGCCTCTCAGGATGTTTCGAGTCCTCCAACTGCAAATGTGTAATCAGCACACGGTAGGCTAAGTTACACTACCGTGTGATTTCTTTCAACATACTGTTTCTGCTCAGCATACTGTTTATGGGCTGTTTTTCGGAGTAGTCTGGTTTCCGACTATTTTTCTCTTGGCTAATGATTCATTCATTTTTTTTCTATGCCACGACGATGTAGCCCCGATATATATTTTTTAAATTTTGTTCCCTCTCCGGTCGGCTAGAACTAGTTTGCTTTCACACTGGCAACTGTTTTTGTTGGTAACGAACTGCCCAAAGACACTTCCCTTCCTCCCCTCTTTGGTTTGTGGTTGACAAGTTACAAATTGGTTTGACAGGTTAAATGCACTAAATACATATATATCTAATTATTATTATTTTTTGGCTCACATTGTAAAGATTCTTTTTTGTATCAGCACAATTTTTGGTCATAAGGATAACCTGGTTTGTATTCTGAAATGTGAAGTTTGTTATTTATTTTTATAATATGTATAAGGTTTGCTTCACTTCTTTTGTTACTTATTCAGTGGGATGCTGCTACACACGTGTCTCTCAATATGAATATGCATACAGTTACAAAGTTTCATAGGGTGGGTTGCCTTCACCTCGTTTGGGGAGGTGAAGCGCTTACACTTTATGTTCAGTTTTTTTTTTCTTTTTTCTTTACCTTACAAAAATGCAATTTTTTTTTATATATTCATTCATTCTTTATTTCTTATTTGTGTGTGTTTTTGTGTGTTTGTCCCTACCCCATCCTCACCCCTCCCTACGGCTCCAGTTGCTGTCACTGCTTCACCATGGTGAGAGGTAACTATGTCAGCAAACACTCTTACAAGTAAATCAAATACTAACTTGATCAGCTGGAATGTGAACGGTCTAAACAATCCTGTTAAAAGGAAGCGAGTCCTCGAGCACCTTCAGCACCTAGGAGCAGGTGTTGCCTTTTTACAGGAAACACACCTTCGTACATTCGACCACTTTAGGATCAGAAAGGGGTGGGTGGGGCAGCTATTCCAAAACGTACTCGCGAATTGACCATTTCTTTATCGACGCCTTTTTACTGGGCTCGATGACAGCCTGTGACTATCAAAGCATTGTCATCTCAGATCATGCGTCCCTCAAACTTGAACTTGCTTTACGCGAGAAAACCTCGAGCAGGTCTTGGTGTTTCAGTCCTCTTCTCCTTTCTGACCCAAACTTTATCACTTATATTTCCAATGAAATCGACACATTTCTGGAGACTAATCGTGAATCAGACACTTCATCTATCCGCTGGGAAGCTTTAAATGCCTTTTTACGTGGACAAATAATCTCTTAGACATCTCATGCCAACAAACTCCGCAAAAGTAAGATATCTGACCTCACAGCCTCGATACTCCACCTAGACCAACAATTTGCAGCAAATCCTACACCTGCGCTTCTTAAGGATTGCCCTACAAACTGAATTTGACCTTTTAACGCCTCAGCGTGCAGAGAAATCTCTCCTGAAAACTCGGCAGAAACTATTTGAGGATGGAGATAAACCCACCAGACTTTTAGCTCACCAGCTTCGCCAAAAAGCAGCCTCTCGTACCATTTCTGCCATTAAAACTTCCTCTGGCGTTATAACTTCAGATCACAAGCGCATCAATAGTGAGTTCAAATGTTTTTATTCAGAATTATACACCTCTGATTCTCAGCTTAACCCAGACCTATCCAGATGATGTTGCGTCACTAGAGGAAACTGTCACCCCTGAAACCATAAAAACATCCATCTTCTCACTGCAGAGCGGAAAGGCTGCAGGGCCAGATGGTTTTCCTGCCGATTTTTATAAGAAATTATCTGACAAACTTGTGCCCCTTTTACACGCAATGTACATTGAATCTTTTCAGGCTAAAACTCTGCCCCTGAATTTATATCACGCCACCATTTCGCTCTTGCTGAAAAAGGACAAAGACCCCCTGTGCTGCTCCTCATTTCGTCCCATAAATCTTCTAAATCAAGATTAAAAAATTATTGCGAAAGCTATTGGACTCCGCTTGGAAGTGGTCCTCCCGTCCGTTATATCCAGTGATCAGACTGGCTTTATCCGTAATAGACAACTATTTTCTTAAGTGCGACGACTGCTTAACATCTTACACACGGATCTTGATGCGGAAAAAGCTTTTGACCGCGTCGAGTGGGATTAACTTTTCTTTGCCTTAGAGAAGTTCAGCTTTGGCCCTAATTTAATCTTGTGGATCAAGCTGTTATACACATCACCCATGGCGTTCGTTCTCACTAACCATCTAGTATCAGATAATTTCCACCTACGCAGGGGCACAAGGCAGGGATGTCCTCTGAGCCCACTCTTGTTTGCGATTGCTATCGAGCCTCTTGCTATAGCCATAAGACAGAATGATAAGATAGAGGGAATTTTCCGGGGTGGTCAGACGCATAGAGTCTCTCTCTACGCGGACAACCTCCTCCTTTTTATTACAAACCCCGACACCACCCTCCCTCATGTCTTTTCCTTGCTCGATGCTTTTGGAGCTATTTCAAGTTACAAGCTCAACTTACATAAAAGTGAATATTTCCCCTTAACTCTCCTCCCCCCCCCCAAATAAATATACCCTTTAAGATTGTTAAGGATGCCTTCAAATACCTTGGTGTGACACTCTAAACTTTATCAAGCAAATTTTGCTCCTCTCCTTGAGCAATGCAAATCAGACTTTGCACGTTGGGCTGCTCTCCCGCTCTCTTTGATTGGCAAGCTTAATTCAGTGAAAATGAATACCCTCCCTAAATTTCTCTATTTGTTTCAGTGTCTCCCCATTTTTATTTCTCATTCATTCTTTAGAACTCTACAACAACTAATTACTGGCTTCATTTGGGGTGGGAAACCAGCAAAGTTCCTCCCCCAACTTCCTACTATATTATTGGGCAGCCAACCTAAGTAGCAAGTCTTCTTGGCTTCTTCCCTCTGATAATGTGAACCGCCCTGCGTGGGTCAACGTTGAGGCTTCCCTTTGCCGTCCCTATTCTCTGTCGGCTCTCTTAGGGGCATCACTTCCTCTTCCCATCTCTGTTCCCAAGCAAAACGTTGTTGTATGGCATTCCTTAAAGATTTTACGACAATTTAAACTTGCCTTTGGTCTGCAGAGCATCTCTCTTTTCTCCCCAATCTTGGGCAACCCCTTATTTCCTCCCTCTATTCACTCCTCTTCTTTTAAAAGTTGGTGTGTCTGGGGTGTACAGAATCTTGAGCATTTATACATAAATAATGTCTTTGTCAGCTTGTCCCAACTGTCAGAAAAATATAATATCCCGCACTGCCACTTCTTTCATTTTCTGCAAGTGAGAGATTTTGTGGGAAAGAAATTTCCTAATTTCCCAACTCGCCCTGCTAAAACTCACCTTGATCATATCGCAACCTTATGTTTAAAATCTGAAAGGGGGAGGCTTGCCAAGATATATGAATATATAATTTCAATTAATAAACCTTCTATAGCTATTATTAAACAACGCTGGGAGGATGAGCTTGGCTTTAGTATTGGAGATGATGTTTGGGATGCAGCCCTTGTTAATATACACTCTTCATCCATATGCGCACGCCACAGTTTGATCCAGTTCAAAGTATTACATTGCTTGCATTACTGTAAGTCTGCTTTGGCTAGATTATACCCTGACATAGACCCCTTGTGTGACAGATGCAAAATAGTGCCCGCGACCCTCTATCATATGTTTTGGGGATGTTCTAAACTGGATCCCTTCTGGTCTTCATTCTTCGATTTATTCTCTAAATTATTTAATAAAACAATTTCTCCTTTCTCCTCTAGCATTCTCCTCCTTATTGGCATGGCGGTTGATACTGCTGAACTGGAAAAGTGCTGCCCCACCCACCCATACTCACCTCATCCGTAATATTATGTCTAGTCTTAAATTAGAAAAGATCAGATATTCTGTAAATGGTGCCCTTCTGAACTTTTATAGGACTTGGGATAGTTTTGTTAATTTTGTGAAGCAATTAAATGGACTACAATTAGACAGATGAGTATTCAGCAGATTAATACATTAATTTACAGATTATACACGTTTTGACTGACAACCTTCTAATTATTGTGCAACTGGAATCTCCACCCCATCATGCCCCCCCTCTGTGAGTGTCTCTTTATCTCTTGTCCTGTCTATTGTCTGTATGCTTGTTGTCCTTGTACTCTTGTGCTTTCTTCTGGACTTTTACTATTATTTTATTTTTTATTCGTTTCTTTTGTTTACAGTTCGCGTGTGGGGTTTTGGTATGTTCTTTCCCACACCACTAATGTTCACAGTCATTTCTGTATCTACCTACTATGGATGTTTTGGTTCAAATGTGCTGTTGTGCCATCTAATTGCAATGTGAACATGCATCCAAGAAAAATCAATAAAAATAATTTTGAAAGAATCAGCAGAAACAGCTGAAGGAATAGTAGAAGATGAAGAAAAAGTAGAAGAGGAAATAGTAAAAGAATAGTAGTAAAAGAAGAAAAAGCAGTAAAAGCAGAAGAGCAAGAAGTAGAAGAAGAATCAGCAGAAACAGCTGAAGGAATAGTAGATGAAGAAAAAGTAGAAGAAGAGGAAATAGTACAAGAAGAAAGAGTATTAGTAGAAGATGAAAAAACAGTAGTAGATGAAGAAAAAGTAGAAGAGGAAATAATAAAAGAATAGTAGTAGAAGAAGAAGAAAAAGAAAAAGCACTAAAAGCAGAAAAACAGAAAGTAAAAGGAGTAGTAGAAGATGAAGAAACATTAGTAATGCTGTAAACAGCATTCACACTAAATATTGATATTCCTGTCCGGGTCAGATGTGCGTGATCTTTTTTTAAAGATTTATTTTGGGCTTTTTGTGCCTTTAATGCAGAGAGAGGACAGTGGATAGAGTCTGAAACCAGGGAGAGAGAGTGGGGAATGACATGCGGAAAGGGGCCACAGGTGGAAGCGAACCCGGGCCTACCACTCGAGACGAGAGTCTCAACACATGGGACGCGCACCCTAACCATTGCGCCACCAGCGCGCCACAGGTGTGCGTGATCTTACTGGGGTTGGGTTGTAGTAAGACTTCGGTCTGCTTCATGATCCTCTCTGTCCATTGCTTCGTGTTTTCAGCTCGGATCAGAAGGTTTTCCAAATGAGCGTCCAACTCGGTCTTCTCGGCCTGACCCAGTTTCTCCTCTGTGAACTGAAAACAATAAACATAAATCATGTTGAGAAGCAGAGAACATTTGACCTGGACAGTGACAGGGTCAGAAAAGTCAGTACAGCTGTGACTATTTTAAACACATCAAGGCTGTCTGCTTTGTTCAGATTCAGATGGTTCAATGAGTCTGTGTCGTTTTTCTCTCCTCGGGTCGTTTTATGTTCACTCTGAAATATTGTAACGCGAGACTAAGCACACACCACGCAGGGATGTCTGTACGCCATTACATCACAGCCTCCTTTTCCCACTGCATAGGTAAACAGATGTCATGCGCACTGGTCACACTGCGCGTTGCGGGACGCCTACATGACGCTAGCTAGCTCGGTAACCTCGCAAGAAAATGTATCGTGGGCTGACCTGGAGCAGCGAGGAGGTCAAACGCCTCAGCGATGTTTCAGGAAACGTTGCAACTGTTTGTCTAAGTAAACCGTGTGAAGGAGATCGTCTGTAACTTTCTAAAATGAAAAATAAGAAATAACTTAATATTGGTGCCTGACTAGAGATGGGACAGATCTGACATAATATCAGTACCGGGTCAGATATTGACGTAATTTATGTATGGGATAGCTGACTGACAGCGCTGGTCCACGTCACAGATTATCTCTGGACACTTTAACCTCAGCTCGCTCAGTCTGTCTTTGAAGACAATCAGACTGAACTGTAAGACGTGTCAACAAACCGTCTCCATGACAACGTTCAGATGAAATGGAACAATTCTTACACTTCAGTTTAAAACTTTTAATTTGAAAATCAGCTGTTACTGCTTCCTGCACAAAGTTCAGACTTTCTAATTTCTTTGGAATCAATTTATCTTGTATATTATATTAACGCCGGGTTTACCACAGCTTTGTGTAACTTTACACATAATACCAACAACAACAATTACGATTCATAAAATATCGGAGTGGATCGGTGCATCTCTACCCAGGACTGGAGTTGTCACAGTACCAGACCTTTAGACTTCCTTCGATACCTGTAAAAATCAAACATCGAAACCTATTTCGATCCCACGACCACAAAAACACAAGTTTTGAGCAATACTTTTTTAATGATTTTAATCACCTGAAATTTGCAGACAAACCGTCTGAATTACACAGAAACTTTACAACGATGTGTTTTAGTGTAATTCAGACAGTGTTTCGGAGCTTTGATTTTGATGTATTTAATCATCTCCTCCACACCTGTCTGATGAAATATGTGTAGTTTTATTAAATTGTGGTACTTTAAATAACATCCATCATTAAAATAAGAGGTAAGTTCATCATGTGGCATCAATAAGTTTAAAACACCTCAGCTTGGACCTTTCTGTTGAATGAAGCAGGTACTCATACTGTTAGATTTCTCCAGGTGTATCAAACTTTAAGATCTGAGTATTGTGACCTGATTGAGCGGAACAGCTAGCCTTTCAAACTAACGTTATCTCCGGTTAATGTCGATAATAACTTTATTTAACATTATCTGCTGCCTGTTAAACATCATGTTGACCAAATATAAAACTATAATAAAGTCTAAGATGTTACAGATATTATTAAAATGAATCCTTAAACGCTAACAGGATACAGACTTTTCTCAGAGATGCTAATTAGCTAGCTAACGCTCCACTAGCTAGCGGCTAACGGCGGCTCCAGGCTAAACGGTTAAACGGTTAAACGGTTACCTGCACGGCGCGGCTCAGGAACGTCCCGGCGTCTGCGGCTAACCGCTTCACGTTAAAGTCCATGTCACAGCGGGGAGGGGTTAACACTTGATACTACAGCTAGCTCCTGTCACAGTCAGACTGCCATCACTACACAAAATGTCATCACAGCAACTTTCCTTCTGTCGGAGATCCACCCAGCTGTTGATCCGGACAAAGAGTGTGTACGCAGACAAGAGCGTTCCCTGCCGCGCCCCGCGCAGTGTTGCGCATGCGTGTTTTGACAAACTCGGATGAGAAGTGAACGCTTTGTTTACAAAGAACAACGGTGTAAACTGAAGGTTTATGACAGGTGAGAGGACGTTTTATGAACACCTTATACTGATCTAATAAAACTACAAAAATGTCATGAACCCTCCGTAGAGGAGCTGCTTGTTAACAAGCAAGGCAGGCAACTGTTTGGGGCCACAGGCCAGTAGGGGGTCCCCGAGGGCTGACAAACTTTAAACCACAGGGGTGGCTCAAAATGTGCAAAATGACAGTTGGAAACCTAAAGGGGCCTCATCAGCGCACACTCACATAGATTATGTATAACATAATGATGATGAACACTGGCTGGAGGGCCCCCCTGTGGCCCAAACAGACTCTAGTAGCCTAATCACCACTGACCCGGTACCTCTTTACAGTCTAAGGGAATCACTCAGGAGATTTCTGTCCCAAAAGGTGAACTCTTCATTTTGACTATCACTTCATACGGCGTGATGTTTTTAGTTTGTTCTAGATAGGCTACATTTTTTTAATTGCAATTTCATTTTTTCCAATGGGTCAATAACAAATGGTGTAGATGACCACCAACTAGCAGTAAACTAAATATGTCCTATAGGCCTATGTCTGTCTCTGTAAACAAAAAGAAAAAAGACATTATCATTTTCGTCCTCCTCGTCATGTCTGAACTCCTTTCTTTGTTCTTATGCATGCTGATGAGTCCGGACACAGTGGGATAATATTCCTGCATCATCATTTCTTATGCAACCACCTCCTGTTTCTTAGAAAACATGTGAAGAAGAAGACTTTGGCAGATTCAGCCAAAACAAAACCAGTCTTCAGGTCTGGATGTGATTATGGAGACAGACGCTGCCACCTGCTGCGTGGGAGGAAGTCACAGAGAGAGAGAGAGAGAGAGAGAGGGAGAGAGAGACGGAGAGAGACAGAGAGAGAGAGGGAGAGAGAGACGGAGAGAGACAGAGAGAGAGGGGGGGGGGGAGGGGGAGAGGAGAGGGGGAGAGAGAGAGGGAGAGGGAGAGGGGAGGGGGAGAGAGAGAGAGAGTGAGAGAGAGAGAGGGAGAGGGGGAGAGGGAGAGGGGGAGAGACAGAGAGAGGGGAGAGAGAGACAGAGAGAGAGAGAGGGAGAGAGAGACAGAGAGAGAGAGGGGGAGAGAGAGGGAGTGAGAGAGAGAGAGGGAGAGGGGGAGAGGGAGAGAGAGAGTGAGAGAGAGAGGGAGAGGGGGAGAGATAGAGAGGGAGGGGGGGAGACAGAGAGAGAGGGGGGGGGGAGAGAGAGAGAGGCAGAGAGAGAGAGAGAGGGGGAGAGAGGGAGGGAGAGAGATAGAGAGAGGGAGAGACAGAGAGAGAGAGGGAGAGAGAGAGAAAGGGAGAGAGAGAGGGGGAGAGAGAGAGGGAGAGGGGAGAGAGAGAGGGAGAGAGAGAGTCAAACAGCTTCCTCAAAGACGGCTCAAAGAGAAGGTCGGCAAATGTCACCGAGCAATTAGTTTATTTCTCTTTTTGAGATGACTAGAATAAAATATGTAAAATTCAACCCGTCAAAGTGGCCAGAGGGAGTGACTGTTATCCTGTTCAGAGCGCTGTTTGAAACAACGATGTTTCACCCCTGTGACGTTTCTCCTTCAGTCTGAATGTCGTGGAGGCGTTATCGAGGGACGAAGTGACCCCCCCTCTCTGTAGCGTCTTCAGAGGTAGTAACAGACGCGTTACAGAGGAGAGAGGGGATCAGCTGATCCAGCGGGGGGGGGAGAACAGCGCTGTGTGTGTGTGTGTGTGTGTGTGTGTGTGCATGTCTGACTGTGCTTTGCTTCCACAACGTTGAAACACAATGTGACCTCACAGACTGGGACGCCAATATTTCGCTGTCGCAGAATCACTACGAACGTACAAAGACGTGACGACAGCTGAGCGTAGTCACGGCGCTTGTATAAAAAAATCTGTCTGAAAGGTGTTGTGTTGCACACCACTGCTGAAATCCACCCGCTAATGTGGCACCCTGTTGGCAACGTTTGTATGCAGTTTACACCGTGTGCAGGCGTTTTCTTGCAATTAGAACCCAGACATTAAAAAAAACGTGTGTCTAGGACTTTTTTTTGTGTTAACGTGGTAACAACCAGGTATCATATGTTGTGATTTTTACTAGAACCATAAAAGAGTTTTAAATCGTGGTATCATGACAACCCTACGTCAGGCTGTCTTTTACATGGCTTCAGACACCACGATGACATGTGACTCTAGTTTACATCTTGATTTACAGTGTTGACCATGAAACCATTGAAACGCGCCTGAACGATCCATCACTGGTCAACAAGTTTAAGCTGTAAACCAGAGAGAGGCCTGCAGCCGCAGCCCACACGCTGCATTCTTTACAACCACACCACGGCAAAGACATTAAAGCTCGGCCTCTGCTTTCCTGCTTGGAGAAGTCTCTGAAAAGTTGGGGCGTCTGCTTTAAACATGAGAATATAGAAGTCAGCACTTTCATAAAGGAGAAGCGCTCCTCAGAGGGACGAGTCGTTTGCAGTATGTGCTTTTAAATCGGAGTCGATCTGTAATAACAGAGAAGCTGATTCTGCAGAATGACTTTCACAGCAAGGAGACACATGTTTCCTGGGATTAGGAAACTCAGACTGCTCTGAGAACAAGAAGAAACACAGACATGTTGGTGACATTAAACGTCTTTATTTGAGACTGTTTTTCATGTCCTACATAAACAAGTGGATTCAGTGCATCTGTGACAGAACAAAAGGATTCAAGCTTCATTCAGTCAGCGACTTTCAAATGAGACTGTCATAAACTGTCATGTCAGAGTGCGTCTGCAGCCACAGAAAGACCTCTAAAAATAGATGTCATGCACACTCCATGAATTTTTGATAAACGGGAGTATTTAGGGCAAATCTACGACTGTTGGTGTTTTTGGACGACTTTCCCAGCGAGCTCCATCAGCAGAGGGAACCTGAGCGTCCTCTCCCTCCAGGACTCGGAGATTCCCTGCAGACCGGTCTGAAAGAATCAAGATGAAAACTTCAGGGTAATATGCCACTGTCTGTTCTAGTGTTCCTCGACCGATTCATACGTTAATCTAAAATGTGTCATTGACTTTAAAATGTTCGACATGATGGACAGTTACTCTACCTGAGCTCCGAAACAGGCTCCTATGAAGGAGGCTCGACTGGCGGTGCATCCCCCACGCCGCATTGTGTCCCTGACGGCCCCCTCCAGCTGGGTCAGGGTCAGGACAGCGTGCAGTGCCCCCTGGAATGCACCGGGCAGAGCTACATGCAGAATGAGACGTATGAGTGCTAATGTGACAGATCCTGATCACAGACAGAGGATCCAGATGTTTAAAGTGATACTGAAGTAGGTTCTACACTGTGTCTCTAAAACGATCAACCAGGTCTAACCATACCATACCAAACTATACCTAACCATACCTAACCATACCAAACTATACCTAACCATACCAAACTATACCTAACCATACCTAACCATACCAAACGATACCTAACCATACCTAACCATACCTAACCATACCAAACCATACAAAACCATACCAAACCATACCTAACCATACCAAACCATACCTAACCATACCTAACCATACCTAACCATACTTAACCATACTTAACCATACCTAACCATACCTAACCATACCTAACCATACCTAACCATACCTAACCATACCTAACCATACCTAACCATACTTAACCATACCTAACCATACCTAACCATACCTTACCATACCAAACCATACCTAACCATACCTAACCATACCTAACCATACTTAACCATACTTAACCATACCTAACCATACCTAACCATACTTAACCATACCTAACCATACCTAACCATACCTCACCATACCTAACCATACGTAACCATTCCTAACCATACCTAACCATACCTAACTATACCTAATTATACCTAACCATACCTAACCATACCTAATCATGGCATGTTCATAGCTCACCTCATGTGTTGGTGAACACCGCAGGGATCAGCTGAGAGCTGCTCCTCCTCAGGTTCTCCTTCACCTGCTGGAGGTGAGCTGTAGCACAAAGAGAGAGAGAGATGTTTCAGGTTAAGTATTTACGTCGTCTGATTTCTTAATTCACATCACTTAAACATCTTTGTTAAACTGAATCTATATTAGGAGCTGTAATATATCAGGGTTCTGTAAAGCCCTGTGTTTCCTGACCACAGACAGCTTTGTCCAGATCCTGAGGGTTCTGTCTTTTTGGGTCGTTCAGCTGAGACAGAACTTTCTCCAGAGCGTCAGGATCGGGGCCATTCAGGATGAAGTGCTCCAAAAATCTTAAGAGGAGAGAGACAGACTCAGGTTAAACCTTCACTTCCTATCAGAACATGTGATGCAGTGGCTGTACATAATCACCTCGCAGCAGCCAGCGTCACAGCCACACACATGTCATTGTTCTGGGTCACTCTGATGGCTCGCTCCACCTTCTCCAACATCTCAGGTCGACCTGCAAACATGGCTACAACCGGAGCCAGCTTAGTGACGCCGTCCATCTGGCAGTCCAACTCACAGCCTGAAACACACAGAAAATTTACAACAGGAAGCGTCCTGGGAGGTGTCATGCAGCTTTGGATCTGTGGTTTTTACCCGTTTCTTCTTTTCCAGCGTCCACATTTCTGAAGAAAGCTTTCAGGCTGCTGTTTCTCCACGGGCCGGGGATGGGGAGGACGGCTTTAGGACCTAACAAAAACAAACATGTATGAATGGTTACCTTTTAATCCACAGACTCTGATTTACAGATAAAATACATTTGATGAGGATGGACTCAGCAGATCAGCTGATCATGATCCCCTCTGCAGGTGGCTCTCTGATCTGTGCCCTGATGAGGACACAGTTCTTCTGGTTTTACTGTCGGACATAACGCTGTGTACAGATGATTTTACCCAGAGTTCTCCTGTGATGATTAACAGCAG